CTCTGTCTGTCAGTATACGGCATCCCTCACTGCTCCCAGCTGTCAGTATACGGCGTCCCTCACTGCACCCAGCTCTGTCTGTCAGTATACGGCATCCCTCACTGCTCCCAGCTCTGTCTGTCAGTATACGGCATCCCTCACTGCTCCCAGCTCTGTCTGTCAGTATACGGCATCCCTCGCTGCTCCCGGCTCTGTCTGTCAGTATACGGCATCCCTCACTGCTCCCAGCTGTCAGTATACGGCGTCCCTCACTACACCCGGCTCTGTCTGTCAGTATACGGCGTCCCTCACTGCTCCCAGCTCTGTCTGTCAGTATACGGCATCCCGCCCTGCACCCAGCTCTGTCTGTCAGTATACGGCATCCCTCACTGCTCCCAGCTCTGTCAGTATACGGCATCCCTCACTGCACCCGGCTCTGTCTGTCAGTATACGGCATCCCTCACTGCTCCCAGCTCTGTCTGTCAGTATACGGCGTCCCTCACTGCACCCAGCTCTGTCAGTATACGGCGTCCCTCACTGCACCCAGCTCTGTCAGTATACGGCGTCCCTCACTGCTCCCAGCTCTGTCAGTATACGGCATCCCTCACTGCACCCGGCTCTGTCTGTCAGTATACGGCGTCCCTCACTGCACCCGGCTCTGTCTGTCAGTATACGGTGTCCTGTGGATGATCAGGCCTGAGCTCCCCCCGCAGAGGGTTAATCCCAGCTTTGCCTCGCCCTATCCTTTCCCATGCCCCAGCTGCCTCCCCTCTCTCCGCGGTGACTCATTCTACTTTACTTTGTTGCCGATAGTAACAAGCGGACGCGCCCTTTCCGGCTGCAGGAACTCCTATCCGTCTCAGCCATTGGTGGAGCTTCCTTGTCAGTCACGGCGTTGCCATGGTGACAGGAGACGGAGCCTCTGGCTGTGTGGCGCTGTGGAGAGTCAGGGAGTTGGTTGTGGTCACAGCGCCCCCCAGCGGCCCCTCCCAGCACCCAGCCCAGCACCCAGCCCAGCACCCAGCCACGGCCCCTGAGCTCGCCCGCACCGCACTCCGCACACAGCGCTCCGGACAGGTGTTCTATCAGTTTGGTATACCCCGTCAGATTGCTATACCCCCGTCACTTCCGGGGAGGGGAATCAGCTGTCTCCTGTGCTGCACATGCGTGCTAGCACTCCTGCTACTCCTCCACAGCAAGGTCCTGGAAGGTAAGTAAAACTAGTTTTACACTTTCATTATAGTTAGTGCATTCACTAAGCTTAGGACATGGGACATTTAGGGTTAACGTTAGGGTTCAAATTAGGGTTAGGATTAGGGACTTGTTCCTATTTAGTGATATTTCACATTAGGGGAATATCACTAAATAGTGATTTCTCACACTTTATTTTAACCCTTACCCCAAGGGTTAGGGTAAGAATAGAGTGTGAGAGAGGTTAGAAGCACTTACCTAACCCTAATTTGTACCCTCACTTAACCCTAAATGTCCCGTGTGCCTAAGCTTAGTGAATGCACTAACTATAATGAAAGTGTAAAACTAGTTTTACTTACCTTCCAGGACCTTGCTGTGGAGGAGTAGCAGGAGTGCTAGCACGCATGTGCAGCACAGGAGACAGCTGATTCCCCTCCCCGGAAGTGACGTGGGTATAGCAATCTGACGGAGTATACCAGACTGATAGAACACCGGCTCCAGCATGAAGGTTACCGTGGATTTTGAGGAGTGTCTGAAGGACTCGCCCCGCTTCAGGTAAAGCCCCTGCCGGGGAGTCAGCGCGGCCTCCTGCCCCCTATAGGGGTAACCGTGCAGGAGGGAGAGGTCAAACTTTAAAAGTAACAATCTCTCCCTGAATGCACCCCACTGACACCAACTCTGCCACTACATCTCCCATCAGGCTCAGCCAGCCATTACTCTGCCTGGCTTATACCTGGCTGAGCATCATGGGAGATGTAGTTTAGAAACATGGGAGCCAGGGTTAGCCTCCAGCCCTGTGTACATACAGTGCATGCAGCCCAGTGCCCCTATAGCATGCTATGTCAGTAATGGCATTACTGTGGATTATGGCTCACTATGGGGACTGGGGGTGGGGAGTAAACGAGAGATCAATCCTCTGACACAAAGTGTTGGGGGCTAACAAGTTTCTTTGGTGCAAGACATATTTTGCTGTGTGAATATCAGGGTTCACCACATTTCACTTACTGAGCATTGGGAAAGAGTTTGCAACAGCTGGGGTGTCAAAGGTTAAGTGTGTGTGTGTGTGTGTGTGTATATATATATATATATATATACACATACACACACAACATTTTATATAGTTGGTAAAATGGAGATTTTGCATGGATGCAATATTGTTAGAACTAACCGGGTTATTTACTATAGCGGGAATGTCGTGTATTTTAACTTTGAGACCAAAATTGCTGATCAGGAAAATGTCTCTCAGTCACTTATTATTATTATTATTATTATTACCACATATGCTTCAAGTTCTTCTGTTTTGGCCATAACATTTAAATTTACTTTTAATTCCCCAAAATTGTCATCGTAGGAAATAACCTTGTGGGATGCTGTAAGTGCACTGGGGTAGGCAATTTTCAATGTTTCTTTATATCTCATACTGAAAACAAGACATCATGTTCGTAGAACTCTTAAAATATGTTATTTTTAACAATTAAAGGGACATTCCAGGCACCCAGACCACTTCTGCCCATTGGAGTGGTCTGGGTGCCAACTCCCACTACGCTTAACCCTGCAAGTGTAATTGCAGTTTTTTTTTTATAAACTGCAATAATTACCTTGCAGGATTAACTCCACCTCTAGTTGTTGTCTACTAGACAGCCACTAGAGGGCACTTCCTGGTTCCTAGCACAGGAGCGTCGCGGGACGTCCTCACGCTGTGTGAGGACCTCCAGCGTCGCTCATTTCCCCATAGGAAAGCATTTTCAATGCTTTCCTATGGGGAGCGCTAATCGTCGCTGCTGCCTCAGGTAAGTTACGCAACCGGGGATTGGGGGGTGGGAGGGAGAGGGTACCTGCAATGCCAGGAAAACTGATTGTTTTCCTGGCACTGGAGTTTCCCTTTAAGCGGGTTATATTTGAAACAATTATTTTGTATTGCATTGAAAAACAGCAAAAACTAATTGAAAATAACCAAGTTGTCAATAGAGCAGAGTTGTTTATATAATATCTGTTAGCAAGCAGAACGTAGACCTATGGATATTCAGCAATTATTAATTTTTTTAAAAGTTTTTGGAGGACACAAAACTGTTAATGTTTAGAACTAAACTGCTCCTTTCAGTTTAAAAAAAAAAAACCAGAACAACAAAAACATTTCAATCACTAATAATGACATATTCCAATTAAATGTGTTTGTTATTACTATTATTGTTGATAGAGCATAGTACACTTGGATTATGCTAAACATGGTACAGTGGATTATGGTTTCACGAAACGTGATGGTGATTTTGTATAAAACGTACTTAAACGGGGGACCCCCACCCTGAGTTTTCTGCCTAGTCCATGCAATAATTATATTGTGTATATACTATTAGGTAAAGAGAAACAAACACTCCAAGCACCATAACCACTACAGTATGGTCAGATCAAAGATAAAGGGTTTCTCCAAGAGTCATAACAATTATACACAATGGTACCCTGGCATAGTTTTCTGGGAATGGGGAAAACTGCTTAGCAATAATTCCCTGCTGGGATGATCCAGACGGTTGTGTAGTTAACTCATCAGGATGGAGGTAAAATACTGTATGTGCAGTTTTTCACAGTGAAATTCTGCACATAAAGGCTTCAGGCACATTGACCACATTAAATCATTGAAGTGGTCATTGTACTTCGAGTAACCATTTAACAAATATATTAAATAGTCCACTAATAATATTTAGAAAAATTCATACAAAGTGTCACCAAAAACACCCTTGTGAATAAATAAGAAAATTTTGATTAATACTCCTTACAAATACATTCTAGGGAAACCAACACATCACCATCCACTTTCAAGTGAATAGTGCCCAAAAGGATATTGTATTATAATATTATAAAGAATTGTAGTAACTACAGTGGTCACGATGCTTTGAGTATCCCTTTAATTGGTTAATCCAACACTTCTAAAACATTTAAATTTTTTTAATATACAATGTCCTGTTGGACACTACTTAATCCCTCCCTCTGCCCCCCAAAAAAAACATACCCTTGTAAAATAATGAATAACTTACCTGGAATCCAGGGCTAGGTAAAGTTCCTCTTGCTGCCTTTCACGTCACTGCTTCCATTTGCATAGTCCAATCAAATGCTCCTCGTTCTCACGGCTCCTCTCAGCGCTGCCTGCAAGGTTTGAAGCTGATTACGCCTGTTTCCAACTTGCAGATGATAGAGCTCATTATTGCATGGATTTAAAGAGACACTGCAGGCCCCTAAGCACTTCAGCTTGCTGAAAAGCTTTATGTGTAAAGAGTGTGGAATCTTTTATTTATTTATTTTCATTTTGCAAAAAGTGCAGACTTCAATAGAAATTGACTTTCAAGCTGAGAACAGACATTACTTCCTGGTTTGGTTAGATCAGGAAAGCTTAACTCAAGAGTCAGCAATTACTCTGAGCAATTGGCTTGCAAAGACTTGAGCTGCATAGGCAAGTCTGTGATTTGACAGCCACAAAAAGTCTAGGCTGTTTTTATATATTCCCCCAATGAAGAAATGCACAATTAAATGCATGCAGGTTTTCATTTGGGGTATATCTATGAAACAGTGATTTTTATTTATTTTGTATTTTGGCAGTGGAGTGTGTAAGTCACGTGCCGGTGGTGTAACTAGCTCCTGGTACAAAAGTAAAAATGCATGCATTTAATTGTGCATAACATTTAGGCCTAAGCATACGGATTGAAATTGTAAGCCCTGGTAACATTATTAAAAACCAAAGAAAAACAAGTTACCTGCGCTCTCTCCTTAATCCCTAAGTATATTTAGACAAATGGAGGTCATTTAGTTACTCCAATGGCCATTGGAGGGAATGCCCACCTGCCAACGTCAAGGCATACCTCCTCCCCCCCCTCCCTGGCAAAGATCTCTAATGAGACAGAAAGGGGTATTTTTTTATATACATCCCTATATATTTATTAACCCTCAATAGGGAACACTTGCTCAAAGAAGCAAGGTGAAGGATCAGAGTAGGACCCGCTTAGGGGGTCTGCCTTGACGTTGGCAGGCAGGCATTCCCTCGAATGGCCATTGGAGTAACTAAATGACCTCCATTTGTCTAAACATACATAGGGATTAAGGAAAGAGCGCAGGTAATTTGTTTTTCTTTGGTTTTTACTATATATTGGGACTGATGTGTACTGTAGTCATTGCTGCTGCCCAGTAGTGATGGGAGTGAGCGCAGGACTTATCTTTCTGCACTGGTAATATTATTGGCTTGGAAAAGTGATATTATTGGTAACTAGAAAAAGGATGACAAAGCATTTTTTTTTTAAAGCCACCGTGACATGTGATGTGTTTTTTTGGGGAAGGAAGTATTAGGAGCAGTCTGCACGTTATCTGAATGTTTAGAAATCTAAATATCATGTTCTGGTGACTCACTGAGCTCTGTAGATCTTTATACTGACAGGGACGTGGAAGCAAAACACAAAGCCCCCCCCCCCTCTTTGGTTTTATTTTGATAAACGTTTGGTTGCAAATGAATTCCTGCCGACTGGTTGCTGGTGTTTTGAAGTCTGTTCTGTTATTCAGTGTTCGTTTACACTAGAACCTTGGTATTGTACATTTTACCTCATTTAATTTATGAAGCAGCACTATGACCTCGAGGAACCCAAACCATTTCCATAAATCAATTTCAAACAATAATATAAATTGATTAATATTTGCATTTAAGCAAATTTTTATTTTGAAAATATTTATAACCACTTAAACATGTGCCAGTTTTTTTTGTTTGTTTTTTGTGTGGAGGTGGACTTACAATTGAATCACAATTTTATAACACGTGTGTGTGTGTGTGTGTATATATATATATATATATATATATATATATATATATAAAAAAATTAAAACTTAGTACATGTGTTACAAAAAAGGTCCTGCACTCCAACCTTTATTATATGATGAATTCAGACAACTGGTCCTGTTACTTCTTAGTTGTTTCGCTCAGTGGAGCAAAACTCAAGAGGAAGGGAAGGAAATTGCTCAGAGCATCTACCTTGCAAAGACTTCTCATTGAGCTGCTTTGGGATTGGACAGCCACATAAAGTCTGGGCAGAATTAAAAAGGGATGGCTTGTAAAGGCTGAAGACAGAATGAAAAGTGCATAATTTAAATGTATATTTTTACTAAATGGTGATTTATTTATTGAATGATTTTATTTCTGTTTTATTTTCTTTGATTTAAAAATAAAATGTAAAAAATCTTTTTAAAGCCAGACTGGGAGCATTGGCAGTTAATTTTATTTTATTTGGTCATTTGACTTAGTTTCTTGTTGAAACCAGGACATATTTTTGGTTTTCCAGATCCTTGAATTTTAAATGGGTATTTGTTTTCCCGTCCAATTGAACATTTTGGAACATTACAGCCAAATTAGAAAATATTTTTCTAGCCTGACTCCTCTCCCCACCCCACCCCCCAACTATTCCCTGATAAGTTCCCAGTTTAGTGAATAACTCATAGTGTGATAGTAACCCATTTGGATATATTATTTACTGTAATTTTTATCTTACAGCTTGTATCTTGTAAAATAAATCTATTTTACTGATGTCACATGTTGAAAGTTAATACACAAGCACTTTTGGCAAGTCTGGCAACAATTTGCGGATATTATTTTGCAATACCTGCAACCTGGAGATAGATATATATAATTTTTTTTATTTAAAAAAAATAAATTTCTGGGGTAGTTTGTTCTGTACCAAAAGGGATAACTCTTAAAGAGAAACTATTTTTTTTATATATATATATATATAATATATTTATTATTTATTGTTGTTGCAGGTCATTATTTACTGTTCTCTGTAATTGCTGTAGATATTGTTTCTACTGTGTATCCCTCCCAAGTAACAACATTATCTCTCTTGCATCTTGTGGTGATCAGCACTTCCATATTCATTCAAGGGGAACAGTTACTATTCTGGAAGTCACGCCATTGAAAGCTGCCTATAACTTGTGTAAAACTTTTTTTATGTAATGTTCCTGTGTTGGTGTGTTGTTGTTGTTTGTTTAGAATACTCCATTTCCACATAGAGGGACACTCTGGACCCCTAAAGCACTTCATCTTGCAAAAGTCCTTTACGTTTTAAGAGTGTTTTCTCTTTTATTTTATTTTTTACAAAAAGTGCCGATTTCAGTTGAAATTGGCACTTTTATAAATTCAGACAACCAGTTCTGTTACTTCAGTGGAGCAAATTCAAGAGGTAGCCAATTGCCAAGAGCACTTGCCTTACAAAGACTTCTCATTGAGCTGCATTGGGAATCTTGTGATGGGACAGCCACACAAAGTCTGGGTTGGGTTAGAAGGGGAGAATTTTCATACGGTTACTATGTTAATATCTTTGGATTTATGGATTTAGTACAATAACCTTAAAACTGAAATATCTTGCTGTTATGTACATCCGTCCAGTCAAAGTGGGATATGGAGACATGGGAATGTACTTTGGACGATGCTGACTCTTCTGGAATGTACACCATTTAATAAATATATTGTATGTTATGCCATTGACAAGACAATCACGCAAAAAATAAAGTCTTTTAAAAAAGGGGGGGGGGGATTTTCAAAGGCTTCGGACAAGAGATCTACAACTTTTGTAAGTTGTTTTAGATATACCCCCAATGAAAAAGGGCATGACAAATCCCAGATGCCAGGTTGTCATGGCGACTAGGAATTTTTTGTCCTGGTGCTTGGGTGTTTCTCAGCCCTGGCCACCTTAGGGCCCACCCAAGGCAGTTGACTTTGAGCAATGGAGGTGAAGGAGTTGTCATCTGTCTGCTCTGCTCCATCATTCCCTGTGATGCCAGTACACTGCATTCCCTCTGAAAATGCAGTGTTTTTAAATTGAAAAGCCTTTAGGGACAGAACCACTACATTAAGCTGGTGACTATAGTGTCCCTTTAAGAATTGTATTTTTATTATTGAAAAAAACCTGGCTCCTAGGGGAGACTCTCTCTCCTAGAAAGAAAGAAAATTTGTCATGCCCTGCTATAGTCACCAGAACCACTACAGCTTAATGTTCTGGTGTCTATATCTATATCCTGTCCCGGTCTGGTCAGCAGTGAAAACGTTGCCTTTTCTGAGAAATGGCAGTGTTTACACTGCTGTCCAAGTCCACATCTAGTAGCTGTCACTTGGATAGACAATAGAGGGACTTCCTGAACGAGGTCCTGCAATCTTTACAGGACCTATATATTTAACATACTTACTCTCTTGATTCAGTGAATCTTTATGAGGAGATGCTGATTGGTGCAGGAAGGACATTTTCTTGTGCATGCTCACTGGCCTCCGAATGCTTTCCTATGGGCAAGAAGTGCATTGACTGAGACCATCAAGATTGATGATCTCTACCAAGGAGGTGGGGACCAGCAAAGCAAGGCCTAAAAGCTAAGTTTACATTTTTTTAATTAAAATAAAATAAAATATGTAATTAATTAGGTATAGGGCACGCAAAGTAGAAGTGGTTTGTGATGTAAAACACAGTAGTGAAGCAGTGACATATGAATTGGAGCTCCCCAAATATTCAACATAAAGCAAGTCTCTCATTAAGTATACAACCTATACTAATCTTTTAAAAGTGCAAATAAAGTGATGCATAAAAATGTGTAATGGATAAGTGATATCTAAGACTAGATGTAAAAAAAAAAAAAAACCTGATCGTGAGGCTTATCCACTAAACGATTGCCATATCTATAAAGTGAAAGGTTCATTATGCATCCCAATATCAAGCAAACATACATACAAAGTGACAGCCCGAGTTCCTTCCTGGCACCATAATCACTGCAGCAAGTTTGGAGTGTTACTGTAATACGTACTCTTCTCAAGCACTATCTGTCTGCCATCAAAACAGGTTTGTGGACATTATACTAATGGACCACCTATCCCCGGTGCCTGTTTCCTTCCAATATTTCGGCTGGCCCTACTATAGGAAGCATCCCTAAGCAAGGCACAACGTCTGATATGATGCTAGAGTGCCTGCTTCATTGCCAACACATGGGTGTTAGAATGGAAACCCTTCTAAAGCGTGTTAACATCTGATTGAAAATGAAACATTTTTTTAAGCAGACATAACAAGCTGTGTGAGTCCCAACCAGGGGAGGTGTGGCCAGAGCTATATGGAAAGAAACAAAGGTTTTAACTCCTAATTGATGGATAATTTAACAGTAAGACTGCAGGGGGATGATCTATACGTATAGTTGATGCCTATAGTAACCTTTAAAATGTTCTTTAAATACATACATCTGCTAGTAATGCGACTAGCACAATGTAAAAATTAAATGGTCTCTCCTTTAAAGAAACACTCTGAGCATATAATTACTACAGCTCCGTTTAGGGGATTTTAGTCTCTAGGCAAAGTACTGCAGTTTTATGTCAAGCTGTTTAGAAGTAGATTAATAACATAGTGTCTCTCATTTGCACCTGGAGATCTCCCCCTCCTGCTATATTGATTGAACAGAATTTACACTAACTCATTATCAATGTCCATTTTATCCAGCCTGGACGACAGTGACTGACTGAGAGTGCTGGGTTAACCTGCTTCCAGCGCTTTTGGCCAATGTCTTCTTCTAAATGTAATGATGGCCAATGTCCTCCTCTAATGTAATGAGGATTGTTAAGTAAACCAAATGTGCAGTACTTATAAAGTCTTGTCGAACACTTTACAGAAACACACAAACACACAGGAGTGTCTTGACAGATTAAAATGGTTTGTGAAATTTATATGTGGTAAAAATGTAATCCAGATTTGAACATTTCCTAGGCGAGTATCAGCCATCCGACATAGCCTACTAAGATTGGTGGTCCTCTCATGCAACGGGAGAAAGTTAGCATTCAGATCTGCCCTTTAGAGTGGAATCAGTCTTGTGTGCATATGTTTTAGTTTCTAGAACTGAGTGGGGGAACCAAGTGAAAGGCAAACTCCATGTTTTGGCTTGCTTGTGAAATTTTACATGTGAAAGCTTTGGTAATGGTTTCTCAGTTCAAGATAAAGTCATAAAACATAGATTTTTGTATAATGGGCAAACATATCGCATTGAAAACAATCAACGTTTTATGACCGATTAACACCAAATGATTCTTTTAAAAAAAAAATATTTTGTATAATGGGCAAACATATCGCATTGAAAACGTATTTTAAAAAAAGAATCATTTGGTGTTAATCTGTCACTTTATGCACAAATACATGCAGTGCATTCGGGACAAATACATCGTGGTTTCTTATATTTTAAACTCAATGATGGTATGTGAAGGCTTCACATATTGATTTTCATTTAAAAAACTTTCATAAGTGATTGTTATTAAAGCATCTGGATTTTCAATTTTAAGGATAACCATTTTCTTTTTATCTTGGCAAGATGTGGAAAAAATATCAGATGTATAAAAGAAAGCAGCTGTAGTAATTTAAATTGGTTTTGCCAGACATATGTTTCTAATTTTAAGGTTTATTTATTTTTTTCCTCCTTGGATATTGTTTAATGTTTTTAACTCCTTCATGCCGTTAGCTCCTTATGTAACGTCCTGTAGTTCTGCTGTGATAGGTTTAAATCACTGCTCACTCCCATTAAAATTATACCGCCGTCGCCAAAATTATATTGATAATTTCTTTGTCAGTGGGCAAACGTTCGAAATCAGCAGGGGATCAAATACTTTTTTCCCTCACTGTACAAGGCATTTAGCAATCAGGACTGATTCGTTAAGCAATATTCTTGCTCTTGCTTGCATTATGTGTGTGTGTTGGCTAATGCAAGTGCACTTACAGTATTCTGTGCAAAACTGACCCAGGAAGCACCTCTAGTGACTGTTTAGGAGTTTCTGTCCCTGCAGCCCTAGCCACACCTTCCCTGCCTGTGACTCTCACAGCCTGCATGAAAAAAAAATAAAAATCATTTCAACTAGATAACTTGCTTTAGAAGTTTCTATCTCCTGCTGTTTAAATTGAACTTTAATGACACACAGGAGGCTCCTGCAAGGTCTAACAAGCTATTAATAGTGCAGGAGATAAGAAATTTTAAATTAACCTCTTAGTGATCGTAGACGTGCAGGGTACGTCAGCCCAAAAAATGGTCGTCAAAGACTGCACACGTACCCTGTACGTCCGCGGTCAAAATGAGCGCTGGAGATGATCGTGATCGCTTCCAGCCGCTCTAAGGGTATTACAAAATGCCTCTATCGGGGCATCGTGGAATACCCTCCTCATTGCCGGGCACCCGAGTTATCGCTCCCCTTGGAGCTATCACTGCCGGGTTGCTGCTCGTGGCGCCCAGCAGTGTAGTGCAGAGCATCGGAAGCCTTCAGACAGTCTTCCGATGCACTGACTGTATTGAGTTCCTCGAGGGGTCGAGGCACTCAGTAAATGTAAAGGGGGAAAAAAAATGTAATTAAAAAACAAAATATTAAAAACCCACCCTCCCTCCCCATTTACTTACCGATCGCTACCGTTCCCCCGCCGGCAATCGGTCTTCTTCTGATGGGTTAAGCCCAGACAGTCCCCCCCTTTGCAATTTAAGACCCCCAGGGGCCATGTGACCGCTCTAAATAGGTAGCTTCAACATGGATGCTGTCCAGGAGGTGGGAGGGTCTGGGAGGGAGGGCTGCTGGAGATTGGCCGGGATGTGTCAGCTGACCGGAGTTCGCGGCGAACTGTTCGCGACATCACTAGTCCCCAACTACAAAAGTTCGCGAACGGTTCGAGACATCACTATTGGGGACAATAAGCAGAGTTAAAGTAGTGGTGGTACAAGTAGGTTGTGATGTGCCAAAACCAACGCTCAGGTAGGCCTGTAAAAGTGGGCCCACTAAGTGAATGCTTAATAAAGGGAGCGGTGGGTGGGCTTAACCAGGAAATCTCGGCCCAGAGGAAGGGGAGGCCTGTGAATTTATAGGCCGGACAAACCCCTCCCACAACTACAGGCTCCGCCTTTCCATTTGTAGTCTGGGACATTAAGCCGAGTTATAGTAGTGGTGGTGGTGGTGGTGGTACAAGTTGGTTGTGATGTGCCGAAACCGATGTTCAAGTAGGCCTGTAAAAGAGGGCAAAAAGTTTAACAATTTAATCCTTAGTAGGTGTTGACATTACATAACCAGTACTTTAAATGCCTGCCTCAGTTCCCTCTCCGTTTGAGGGATATCTGGTGTATGCAGACAATTTTATTCTAACTGTGTTTTGATATTAATACATATAATTTCATTCTATGTATATCTCCTTAACGACCGTGGACGTACTAGGTACGTCCGACAAAAAACGGTCGTTAAGGACGTCTGCGGCAAATAGGAGCCCTGGACTTATCTGGATTGGCAATCCGCGACAATCACAGTCTGGGGGGGACTGCCGGAGACCCCAGCAGTCCCCCTGCAGCAGCTCCGGTCCTCCAGGGCCATGTGATCACCATGATCACATTGCTGCAATAGGACTCTAGGAGCTGCCAGCATGGGGACTGTCTGAGCTGTCAGGCAGTCCCCTGGGCTGCTAAAAAAAAAAAAAAATGTTATACATATATATGTAGATATCCAAGATTTGCAACGGGCAACAGTGTCATTTATACCTGGAGTGCAAGCATATTGGATTTTTCGTGTGTGTGTGATTGATAGAGATATATATATATATTGTATATATCTCCATCCCTATATTGACCCTGTAACTTTCAAAAACACCATAAAACCTGTACATGAGATGTATTGTTACACTCGGGAGACTTTGCTGAACACAAATATGAGTGTTCTAAATCAGTAAAACTTATCACAAAGATGAAATCACCAGTAAAAGTGCAGTTTTTGTGCAGTTTTTGTGCAAAAAACTTGGGCGGATCTTGCCAGAGCTCCGAGCCACAAGCACCTAAAACTCTCGATACCGGCTCCAACTACGCTTCACAGACATCGGGAAGGGCAGATTGAACATCAGGACGGCAAAACACCGCACCTGCGCTCCCAAGGCCTACCACGTGGGCAGACAGATCCGTGAGCTAGAGGGGATTTACCAGGCATGGAGTGCCGCCATGACATCGGATCCACACACAGCCACACTGTCGAAGAAATTGGTAAAAAGTCGCAAAAACAGACTCCTCTCACACCAAGAGATATAAGACTCATGCTACAGACGCCCATACCTTCCCAAGCCTCAGGCTGATAGGCTTCACCATCCATGCAGTATGGGGAAGAACTCTCCCACAGCCTGACACAGCATGCACTAGACAGAGTGACCTTACAGGCAGCGGAGAACTCTGCACCAGCCACTAAACAGGATACCCAAACCATGCTAAACAGCCTGCAACATAATCTACAGCAAATGTGGAAGGCAGACTTGGCATTAATGGCTACGGAAGTACAAGCTGTGACAGAGCGTACCCGAGCCACAGAGGAGGATGTCGTGGAACTTAAACAGGGACTGCAATCTCTTGGCAACAAGGTGCACCAACTACAAATGGCACACACTGCCATCACAAGGCAAGTTAACGCCCTTGACGATAGAGACAGGAGGAAGAACATAGAAGAACTTACCCATTTTGTCAGACAACTGGTAGCCACCATACTGCCAACGAAACAAGCTAAACGTTTCTCCTTTGATGGGGTATACCGCATTGCTAAATCACCCCAAGCTCCTGCAACGGCACCCTGGGATATCATATTGAGATTCCAAAACCTGTCTGATAAAATTGGTTTAATGATGGCCCTTAAAGGAAAGACTCCCCTTGAATTTGAAGCATGTACGATTTCCCTCTTTCAGGATTTAAGCTGAACCACGCTGTTATGGTGCAAGTCTATGCAGCCCATTACAACAGCCCTACAAAAAGCAGGACTTCCTTACAGATGGGTGACCCCGGGTACTCTCCTGGTTACTGAGGATGGGAAAACGTATAAGGCAGCTGATCCCCAAGAAGGTCCAGCACTACTAATAGCTTTGGGACTGGATGACCACAAAGCTTTGTCGACAGATCTACCTCAGACTCACCAGTGGAATGTGGCAGACATACCACCATTTGTCCCCAGAGACAGTCGAAGTTCTGCAATCTGATGCTGCAGTGACATAACCAAAAGTTTCTAAAATATTGTGCCTTTTTTTAATGTTTTTATGTCCTTAGGTAACATTCTTTTGGTTTGTTTATGGTAGTTATAAGGGGTCTAGAACCCTGCTCTACCTGGCGCCCATACACATGTGAGGCCCTCAAAGGCCGTAACAAGTGACATCATATCCAACTCTTGTGACATAGCCTCCCCCCCACTACCCTGTGGTATATGGGCACTACCCACTTTGGAACCCTAACTTAACCGCCCACGCAATATAGAAAATCATTCCATACCAGACAGACCAGACCGGGCACACCTAGCGCTAACATAGCTTCAGCTCCTAACACACTAGCCTAACCACCATGTTTCTAATCCGAAATAGCTCCTAAGTTTAGCACTCTTAGGGATAGGGGACCTATATCTGCCTCATAAACTCTGCCCGGATTGTTCAACACCCCAAACGAATCGATAAACACTACTGATGAGTTTCCCGCAAAGCTTACATAATATGTTGGTACTTTTCTAGTAGTTCTAAGACATTATCAAGCCTCGACAACACAGCCTGTATTCATCCACGTTGATCCTAACGAGCGGTCAACCATATCTGTAGACAGATATGCTCTTTGATACAACTACACTATACGTCATGTGCAAGCTTAGTGAAACCATGTTTCCTTATATACCTAGTCTGCACAAGCTCAAAAGGGGCAATCCCTTCTACATACAGGTATCCATCACTGTAATTGAATGATACACAATAGCTTGTTTAAAAGTAAAAGGTGTACTAACAGGACTAGTCACTACAGCTGGTAGTATTTCATGATGACCCAAGCAGGTTAGCAATCCCTCCTGCATACAGAAGTGCCCTTAGACACATTCGAATCAAAAGTGCTGCATTTGCCAGGGAATAAAAGATGTTATAAACATGACAGCTAGTAACAATTGTCTAGACCTCTATCAAAAGAAAATGTACAATGTTCATAAATGTCACACCTCATGCAGCTAAGACAATTGTCTGCTGACTTATATTTGCCGTTGTGGCTTTTTTTTTTTTTGTATCAAAATTGTCATGAGTTGCACCAAAAATAAAGAACTATAAAAAACAAAACTGAACAAACTGAATTGGGCAAGCCCTATATTGACCATGTAACTTTAAAAAAAAAAAAAACCACCATAAAACCTGTACATGGGGGTTATTGTTATACTCAGGAGTCTTTGCTGAACACAAATATGAGTGTTTAAAACCGTAAAACTTATCGATTAAATCACGAGTAAAAGTGCAGATTTTGTGTTAAAAATGCAAAAAACAAATAAAAAAGCTAACTTTGGCCAGCATTTGTGGCTTAGTGGCTACTAAAAAAGACTGGACATACCCCATTTTGAATACCGTGGGTTGTCTACTTTTACAAAGGGTATGCCATGATGGGGTTAATTTTCATTCCTGGGCTGCTATACGGTCTCAAAGGCAACTCAAAGGCAACATAGGCACAGCAAACCAATCTGGCAAATTTCAATGTGCAAACATGGAAAAAGGGGAAAGCCCTACATTTGACCCCCTGTAAGTTTGCAAAAACCCATAAAACCTGTACATTGGCACTGTTTTACTCGGGAGATAATGCTGAACACATATTGGGGTGTTCTTTGTAAGTAACACATAACAGGAACTGAGAATCAATGCCTAAAGTACAATGTGAGCGAAAAATAACACAAGAAATGACTACCCAAAAACAAACAAAGACTGGTGGTAGAATTAGTTCATGGAAAGTGTTAAAATACCACCATTTGAAATACCCTAGGGCTGTGGTCGGCATCCTTTTAGTAGTACTGTGCCAAATGGAGATTTTGAAGACCATTGGCGTGCCGGCACTATTTTGTAAAATTGAGTGTGTATATTGCTGTATTCTGCTTGTGTTATTTGTGGGTGTTGCATTTGCTTTGCAGCATTGTATTTGTGCCTATGTGGCCTGTTACATTGTATAGAATAAGTTCAGGAGTAGTTTGTGGAATTGTGCATGAGTGTGCATGATACCTATGAATGTGGGCTATGTAAAGGGGCTAAATAAAAAAAATTACCTGTGCTCTTTCCAAATCCCTATGCATATTTAAACAGATTGAGGTTATTTAGCTGCTTCAATGACCATTAGAGGGATGCCCACCTGCCACGTCAAGGCAAACCTCTAAGGTGGGTCCTACACTAACCATTCACCTTGCTTCCTTGAGCTTCAGGCAGAGATATCGCTAATGAGACAGAGAGTGGTATTTTTCTAAACCGCTACATACTTATTAACCCTTAATAGGAAAAACATGGGATGGACGGCAGCATTGTAACATACTGTGTGATACAAAAGTGAATACAAAAACAAGTCCTGCGCTCAAGCTCCCACTACTCTTGGGCAGCAGCAGTCACCATAGTACACAACAGCCCCAATACATACAGTAAAAAACAAAGAAAAAAAGTTACCTGCGCTCTTCCAAAATCCCTATGCATATTTAAATAAATGGAGGTTATTTAGTAACTCCAATGGCCATTATGTATAGGGGCTGCTTGTGGAATTGTGTGTGGATGACCTGTCACATTTTGTGTTTGGTTTGGGGATTTGTGTGTGTATGTGGATAGTCTATGGTGTTCTGTTTGTGGGGACTGTGTATTTCTATGTGGACTGTTACTATTATTTGTAGAAGTGTGAGGCTTATTCTGCAGCTTGGTGTTTATCTAGCAGTGTGGGTGACTTCCCTGGGGTCAAGAAGGGACCGGGCTAGCCAGGTACAGGTCAAGGGCAGGAGCTGCAATAGCTGAGGCGGATTGCTCTACTCTAGTGCAGGGTTTTGTTCACCAGTGCTGGGATATAGTGATCTGAGATCACTTCCTCTAAATGCTGCAATGCGTAAATTGAGGATTGCCGATCACCACCTGCAATCACCACTCACTTTACACGAAGAACTCCTGATAGGCCGTACCTGTTTGGTTCTAGTAGCCTTGAGTGCCGTACAAAGGCACTCCAAGTTCAATGCATGGCACACGTGCTGTAGGTTGCTGACCCCTGCCCTAGGGTGTCTACTTTTCAAAAATATATGGTTTGATGGGGGTAAATTACATTGGCCGGTTTAAAAAATGTCCCAAATAGGACATGGGTGCATGATGACCAGCTGTGAAAATTCCAAGTTGGAAAACTGGAATGCACACCGTTCAAATAAGGTCTTTTAGCCCCCAGAGAACCCGACACACCTGTACATGGGTGGTATCACTGTACTCAGGAGATGTTGCTGAACACATATTGGGGTGTTCTTCGGCAGTAACCCATAAAGTTCTCTGTAAATTTATTCTTAAATTGGGAAGTGTGTCAAACAAAAATCACTATTATTATTATTATTATTTTTTTTTTTTAAACATTTGATTGGTGGTAAAATGGGAGCATAAAAAGAGTCAATATATCCCAAGTGTAATACCTTAGGTTATCTTCTTTAAAAAAAAAAATAACTTGTGAAGGGTTATTCAGGGATTGTTGACAGATATCAGTGTTACAATTTAACATTAATTTTAAGGGGAAAAAATGGTGTTGAAATAGCAAAGTGCTACTTATTGCACTTATTGCCCTATAACTTTCCAAAAAAAGCTAAGAGCATGTCAACATTGGGTATTTATAAACTCAGGACAAAATTTAGAAACTATTTAGCACGGGTGTTTTTTGGCAGTCGTAGATGCGTAACAGATTTTGGGGGTCAAAGTTAGAAAAAGGGTGGGTTTTTAAAAAAAAATTCAATTTTATAAAAAATTTTAATAGTAAATTATATGATATGATGAAAATAATCGTATCTTTAGAAAGAACATTTAATAGCGAGAAAAACTGTATATAATATGTGTGGGTACAGTAAAAGGAGTAAGAGGAAAATTACAGCTAAGCACAAACAATCAGAAATGTAAAAAGAGCCTTGGTCCCAAATGGTAAAAAAAAAAATTGAAAACTGGTCTGGTCACTAAGCGGTTAAACAGACTGTGCAATATAGAAAGTATAAACATTAAATGTCACTTTGCATGAAGTGTTTAGGAAGGCTTAATGTAGTTGTTTGGGAGTGTGTAAGTATGTCTCTGTTGGCTTTTTAATGTAAACACCGTCTTTTCTCCACGCTCTGCATGGAGGCGCTGAGCATTCCTCATAAAGATGTATTGTTTCAATGTATCTCTATGAGTAGATGCTGATTGGCGCAGGGCTGCCACGCACGAGTAATAACCTCCCAATGCTTTGCTATGGGCAGCGCTGGAAGAAAAGTAAGTAAACACGCCTTTCACTGTAACGACTGGGAGTCGGAGGCCTAAATCTCACTATAAGAACTAGTATGTTAGGAATACGTTTGTATTCCTGACACTGTAGTGTTCCTTTAAGCTAAAGTTGATTTGACGACGATGGTATCCCCTAAAATTTGGGACTAAGTAAAGAGTTTGTTTAAGTTTTTGGAGAGATTAAATTTAGGTTTTAGGGGGAAAAAGGGATTTTTAGGGCATATGGAGTTTGAAATGTATACAAAGTACTCACTCTCCTATGACTGATAGTAGACCTACAGGAGCTCTTAGTGTGAATCACTCTGTGCTGTCTCTGCTCTAACTGCAAGACATTTTCTGTGTGAGAGGATGTTAGTGGGCAGATAGGAAGTGATCCCTTACACGCCCTGTCCAGCTTCACACACAGACACTTGATAAACTCGAGCAGAACAGTGTTTTACATATTCTATAACCAGGGCCGGACTGGGAAAAAAATTTGGCCCGGGCATTTTTTTATCACAGCGGCCCACTAAGAAGGGGGAGGGGCAGAGAGGGTGTGTTTTGTCATCACTCATGACAAACATGCCCCCTCTCAAAGTGAGCATGTTGGTTCAATGCTCTTCCAGGGCAGACCATGCACAGAGCTCTGCTGAAGAGCTCTAGCATGAGAAAAAAGCCCTGTATTTGTTCTGCACAGTGCAAGCAAATTTAATAACATGCTTGCACTGTGTTTCCTTGCAACTTGTCTCTGGTGTCTCTATAAATGGATACCAGGAGACAAAAGGGCCAGGAAAGAGTATTGTGCATGTGTTTGGAGCCTGCTTGTGGTATTGCGTGTGTGCAGAGTGAGCTGGTCGTGGTGTGGTATTGTGTAATAAGGTTGGTTTTAGTCGTGTCGTGTTGTGTTTGTGGTGTAATGTAATGCATATGTGGCATGGGGCTGTAGAGAATGTGTGTATAGGGGATGTAACAAGTGTGTGCATACAGGCTATAGTGTGTGTGTGTGTGTGTGTGTATAGGTGAAGTGTAGTGTTTGTAGAGAGTGTGTGTTCAGGAAATGTAGTATGTGTTTGCTTACAAAGAATCTAGTGTGCGTATAGGGGATCCAGAGTGTGTGTGTGTGTGTGTGTGTGTGTGTATATATGTGTGTGTGTGTGTTTGAAGGACCCAGAATATGTATAGGAGAGCTAGTGAGCGTGCGTATATAACTGATTCAGAGTGTATATAGGGATCTAGTGTGTGTGTGTGTATGTGTGTAGTTGATCTAGTGTGTTTCTGGAATGTAATGTGTTTACGGGTGCTGTGTGTGTGTGTATATATCTGTATATATGTGTGTGTGTGTGTGTGTGTGTGTGTATGTGTATATATATATATATATATATATATATATATATATATATATATATATATATATAGTAACAAACCACCTCTTTTATAGGTAGGATTGTCACAGATCTTGCAGTAACCACAGCCTTCTAGGGTATACAAAGTCCAGGACACATTCAGCTCGGTTTTCCTTTTTATTCAATAAGAAAACAGGTGCTTTAAATAACAAAACAAACAAAATCCCTTGCTCTTACTAGACAGGAATTGCTATCTGCAATTGGGTGGCTTTCCCACTTACCAATTTTCCAAACAAAAGAAATGTCTTTGCAATAAACACAATTGTCATTCACTCTCCTAGCTGTCTTTTCCTCCCTCACTCTGCAGCAGGCTGCCCTCTTCTTTTAAAGGCCTGTCTACTAATTGACTAGCTACAGGTGAGTGCCAATTAGTTAACTCGTAAGTCAGATCCAAATAGTGGTCTGTTACACAGCAACTAGTGCTGTTGGAGCACTGGCCCACCCTGCTCTCCAAATACTCCGCCCCAGGGACCCAGACCATGTTTTGCAGAGCATCAGCTATGCATTTTGCAAACTTTAACATCTCTCCCTGGGGCATTTAACTGAAAATCCTCTGGTTGCTGTTTAGCAAATCAGGCCTGATGTATCTTCCATCAACCACTATTCCACTTTTACGCTCAATATATATATATATATATATATATATATATATATATATATATATATATATATATATATATATATATATATATATATAAAAAATGTTTGGAAGTATTGTGTATGTGAGGGTGCTGTATGTGATTGATTTGTGTGAGGGTGCTGTGTGTGTGTGTGGGTGGGTGCTGTGTGAGTGCTGAGTGTGATAGTGCTGTGTATGATGTGATGTGTGTGTGAGTGCTGAGTGTGATAGTGCTGTGTATGATGTGTGTGAGAGTGCGTGAGCTGTGTGCTGAGTGTGAGTGAGTGCTGTATGTGAGAGTGCTGTGTGTGAGAGTGCTGTGTATAAATGTTGTGTGTTGGGGGGTAAATATACAAATAAAAAAACTAAGCAGGCATTAAACCCCCCTCCCTTCTTACCTTTAGCCTGGGAGGGGGGGGACATGCACGTGGTGTCTGGGAGGGGAGGCACCGGCACTCGCACACCATCCCTGGTGGTCCAGTGGTGAGTGAGGGCTAGAGTTCACTCTCGCGAGATTGGGGCGTTGCCATGGCAACGCTCCTGATCTCGCGAGCGGAACCCGGCGAAGCTGCAAGATAGAGCTCCGCCGGGTCCTCTCCCTCCCTCCCCAGCCGCAGGTCTATTTAAATGGGCCGGTGAGGGAGATCTTTGATCTCCCCACCGGCCCTCCATGGAATACAGCGGGGCAGGCGCTCGGATAGTGCCGGCCCTGCATAGACCGGCAGGGGATGTCCTGTGACCTCCCCTGCTGGCCTCGGCCCATGGCCAGCGCGGCCCACCGGGCATTTGCCCGATTGCCAGTCCGGGCCTGTCTATAACTATTCAGGAGAGGCACCTATAGGCAGGTGTCTAGGCTGCGTAATGGGGAATCTGGCCCTGAGGTCCAGAGCTGGGTCAAATTTGTGTCCTCACACTTGCCTAAAAATACAGAAAGAGCGTGTGTGGAAGATCCTGTGAACCCTTCACAGATCTCATGCATGAACAAATAGATGTGTTGTGCATTGAGAAAAATAAATAAATTCCATTTTCCTTTTAGCAATCTATTGCTGTCACTGATGGGAAATTGCAAGGCAGGACAGCTGAGAGTCAGTATTTGTGGCTTGCCATATTCACCATTTTCAAACGGATACCTTAGGGGAAATTAATCTCCACTGTCCACTGAAATTCACATATAACTCTATATTTAAAAATGTTGTTATTGTCTTGATTGAAAGAATAATTTTGCAGTTACTGGTTTGGTTTTAACTGAATGTGTGGATACTTGTAATATAGGTTACTAAACTGTGCCTGTTGCAATCATAAGTATAGTTTGCAGCAATTGAATTGAAGTCCTGTTTTTTTTTTTGTTTTTTTGCTTTGTATTATACAAAGTTACTACATTTGATTTGCACTATATGGTGTATTTTATTTTACATGCTTTTTCCTCTTGTTGGAGGATTTTGAACACCAAAGATATGTATCCATTAATTATTTGTCACCGCTACATTTACTGTAACACTGAGGTTTTAAATATACCCTGCAGATGGGGAATGAGAAAACACATTCTTTGAATGTGTTGTAGAGGCTCTGTTTCAATGAAATGACTAATTGCAGTGTTCCATTAAGTTGACTAAAAAAGCTCTACGGCAAAAAAAAAATCACATTGCGTGCTTTCCTTGTACTCAGTGGCTTTGAAGTAAATACATGATCCCCATTACTCTGTGTGGGGTTGTTACAATGTTGTGACCAGGCTAACAGTTGGGTGCAGGAAATTTCTCATGACTTCTTTATTATCCCATCCTCCCATTTTTGTGTATTTGCTTTGTAGAAGCACATTTTTAGATTGTAATTTGCATGACTTCCTGTATTTGGGCAACATTCATTTTATCTTTATCTTTTTGCTTCTTTGAAGTGTGAATTGTCGGGAATATGTTGCCATAATAGCCGAACTGAAAGAACATGCTTCCATTTGGGTCTGAAATTTGATTTCAATTCTCCACAACTCACACTTTAGTAGATAACAATGTAATCCTTTATACTAACATATTTGTTTCTGCTTACATGCTTGGTAGCTGATGAGGTTGGGGCAGTTCATTGGCAGCATCACTGTGTGCCCTTACCAACCGAGTTTGGACAGTAATGTTTTTTGCTCAAGCACTGAGAGAGATTTTTTTTGAAAATTGTACCGGAATTCTTGATAGGGTACCCTCAACCTCTACAGAAAAAGTGTCTCCCCGCATTTAGCTGTGAATGACTGCTCGCGACTTAGGGATTCATAGAAACTTCTGCTCAAAATAAAATTGCATTTCTCAATAAAAGTACATTCTGTTTAGGCTTAATAATAATAATAATAATAATAATAATTATTATTATTATTATTATTTTTTAGACTTTTCTAGAATAAAACTTAAAAATTTTTTTTTTTACTATTATTATTATTATTATTATTATTATTATAATTCGATTTACTTCTTGCTTGGCTTTTGCATGAGGCATTGGTTATATCAGATGTTAATTAGGGAAAAATGTAACTAAATTACTGACCATGGAAGCATAAACACTTGGGTCAACACCGCCCCACACAGCAGGTGGGACAGAAAAGTAACCAATTTTTAAATTTTTTTTTTAAAATCTCCCTTTTCATACTACTCTGTCATTTTTTTGTTTTTGTGTTTTCCTCCCGTGTCCTCCAAACAGCAGGTGTATGGGACCTATTTCGCAGGCCAGGTTCTAATTTCGTGTTTGCCAGACCACTTCTCTGAAAAGGCACAGTCAGAAAAAGTCAACCTCTACATTCCTGATGCCCCAGTGTACAGCTATTTTACTTTCTAAATGACACAGCTGGATGTGGCGTTACACCTCTGCAGCTGTGTTATTTAACTCTTTATGTGCAGTGTTTGTCAGTGAAATTGCTGAAGTGGTCATGGTGTTCATGGTGTTTGGATTAACCTTTTAAAGCCTCAGCCCCGCATCATACATACCACTAATTTCTCTGTAAAACATTTCTTCTGTACAGCAAGTCCTCTTGTCGGCTTGTGATGAAGGAAATAGACCAGATTGCATGGTATAAACTGTAGCAGCAAGCATTCTTATCATATAACCGTACATAGCAGTGTATGACCATATACTTTTAAAAAAAAATAATTTTGTAGAAATGGAAGCATTTACATTACTCTCTTTCAACCTTTCCTTTTACCATCGATATAGACGGTGTAATTCTTGTGCAGGATGTAATCCAGATGTTTGAATTGTGATCTAGTTGTATATTGGCTGAATAAATTATTTATATACAGGCCAGTCTGTTTATTTAATGTGTTCTGCCAATGCTCTTGTGTGTAAGTAATGTTTGGAGTGATGCATTTACTGCAAGTGCCCCTACACGACCAGCGTTCAGCTAACATTGTCAAACTGATTACTTAATTTAGGCAATGTCATTTTTATGCAATAACCGCTACGAAAATCTACAAACTATGGATTTTTTTGTTTCTGTTACCAGCTCTTGGTTAATGATTGCTGTCTTTCTCATATTGAAAGAGTATTGTGTCGCACAGTCCATTGCAGTGCATAAAGTAAAATAGAATAATTTGAACTTAATCCACCTGCATACTATATTACATTTTAAATGTAAGATTGCTTATACGTGAGCTTTACATTTCTGTTTCTTGAAATTTAAAGTATATTGAATTAAAACGGAAGTGATAAAAAAAATTATGAAATTCTCATACTGACTTTTGTAAATTCACTGACTACTTTGTCTGACACTTCTAGACACTGGGCGGCGCTAACACTGTCTAGAAGTGTCAATCCCCCAGCCGCCACTAGTGACAGCTGCAGAGATAAAGGAATTTGTATGTACATAGTTTCTCTTTTTGTTTAAACATTGTTGGGGATCTGCGCATCTCACCTTACTGCACTTACGCCATATCATGTTGAAGACCTGCTTGTCTCACCACTCCTTTTCTATGGATGGAAAATGTTCTTAAAGTGAAACTATAGTGCCAGGAAAAAAAAGCTGTGTCATGCATAGTGTGAAGACGTTGAGCGTCTGTTAGGCGACTAAAAGTCGCCTATTGATCCGGAAGTCCATCTAGAGCCACTAGAGGAGGAGTTAACCCATAAAGGTAATTACTGCCGTTTATATCCTTTCCAAGGTTAAGAGTACTGGGACACTGCACCCAGGTCATTCAATCAGCTGAAGTGATCTGGGTGCCTATAGTGTCCCTTTAATGAAAAAGAAATTTAGCATGCATGGCATTAATGCAATGGGCACATTGAGCTTCATTCATGCAGGTAAATAAAAAATACCTCAAGGAGGGGATGCAATTTATAGTGCCCAAAAGGGTTTTGAAAGTGGCATATGGTAACAGTGGCTGCACATATGAAATCTGTGTTCATCAGGTTTAAGGTTACATCAAGGAATTAGGCAGGCACATGATTTAAAAATGAGTAGAAATGCAGGCGATAAGGAATATAAGGCCTTGTAATATAAACATGCCGTGCCGTGAGATCAGTTTAAAAATTAATCCTTTTTAAATGTAGGCTGTGTCAGTCACAGCCAGGGGAGGTGTGGCTAGGACTGCTGAAACAGAAACAAAAGAGTGAATTGAACAGCGAAACTGCAGGAACATCTATACACTATAAACTACTTCATTGAGCTAACCTTGTTTTTATTATCCATTTAATGAGTAAAGCTCCATTACACCAGCTTTTATGAAGTCACATATTCAAGGCATACTATAGGCATCATAACCTCTTTAGCTTAATTTAAGAGATTTTAGTGTATAGATCCTGCTCATGCAGTCTCACTGTTCAATTCTCTGCCATTTAGGAGTTAGATAACCTTTGTTTCTGTCCTTGCAGGTCTAGCCACACCTCTCTTTTCTGTGACTGGCACAGTCTACACAGTAAAAACAGTTTAATTTCAACCAGTACAGTACAGTGTGCCTGTTTTTAGATTTTTATTTTTTTAATCTCCTGCTTAGTTAATTGAACTTTAATCACACACGGAGCTCCTGTGGGCTCTAGCAGGCTATTAACCGAGCAGGTTATAAGAAATTCTTAATTACGCAAACTGTGCGACAAAGGAAGTTTAAATATTTGTTTTCTGTTTACAGGAAATGTGTGGGGAGACTGTGTAGGTCACATAGACAGGAGGTCTGACTAGAGTTGCGTAAATAAAGTGATTTAGCTCCTGAATAGCAGAAATTTAAGTTGTTTGCCTCAGGGTCATAATTAATACTCCAAAACCACTCCAGTGAAGCTAAAGTTGTTTTGGTGCATAAAGTGTCCCTTTAAAGTATGTATGTGTGTATATATAAATATAGCTTTATCAGTCTGTCTGTATGTGTAATGTGTGTAATCATGTAAATTTATGTATTTTACTAATTATTATTAATTCAAACCGCTGTCTTATTTCTGAATATCTAGTGAACAACTGAAATAATTAGTAGTTTTTAAAATGTATTTATAGAGGAACACCTATACAATATTCATGAATGATAAACATGCCTTCTAGGCTGCCCTTGTGTTCTAAATATAGTGAAATGTGATCTTTGTCTTACAGGGCAGCTTTAGAAGACGTGGAAGGAGATGTAGCAGAACTTGAACTGAAGCTTGATAAGGTAAAAACCTTCAGTCTCCAATGTGTTACCATGCTAAATTTACCTTTCTAGGTGTTCCCTTACCATACACAGTCAGTGCTTGCTTTCTATGTATACATGTGTGAAACGTCAATCTGCCTCATAAATATATTCCATTTGTAATTCTAGAAAATGCAGTTATACTGCAGTAAGTAAAGTATAACTGTCAGCTGACCTATATCATGATTAATGAAAGACAAAAAGAAAACATTCCTGGGCTAGATTTAGTGAGTCTTGCTAAAATACCTGCTGGACTTTTCTCATTATGAAATAGAACTAATTTTCTTATTTAAAAAAAATAAAATAAATAATAATAATTTTTATGGACCTCTTATTTTGATAAGATTTAGTTGAAATCAGTAGGACTGGGGTCAGCACAGTTCAGTAGTAAATAGCCTAAAAACCCAACAAAAGCTGCTATATCTCCTGCAAGCTAGAACCCATGGCTAAAGAAGGGAGACAATTAGATGGAGAGAACTACAGTAAGATCATTAAGAGGGAACTGCAGAGGCTATATCCTATCTCATATTTGCACATTTAGTTTTCAACATCACACATTTAAATTTTGTATTTTTATACAGTGAGTATGAGTGAAAGTGTTTGCTTATTGGTGTGACTGTGCCTTAGCATGAGTGAATGAATGATTGAGTGGCTGTGGAAGAGACAAATTGAAAAAAAAAAAAAAGAGAGAACAGTATAGAATCTAGAGAGCACGGGTTCCAGACAGGATGTTGCGTCAAGGGGGGTGCGAGACCAGATACAGAGCCCGATATGCTGTATTCATGTTGGCTACAGAGAGAAGTGTGTTGGAATAGCCATACACAGAGAGATACAGAGCAGGGGGCAGGTCTCGCCGAACACGGGCCCTGCCTATTTCTGAGGAAGATGGGCTGAAGACTGTAAAGTTTACATATTCTGAGAATGTAACCATTGTCAGAACACCACTCGCCAATAAAGTCTTCCTGTGAGGGACTGACAAATTCAAAGTCCTAGATCTGCATTGTAGATGCCTATTTGTATTTCATTAGATTCCAAAACCACACAATACATTTAGCTTTTCACATCTGTGTTCACCCACCGAGGGTTGTTTATTAGTACATTTTGATTTCCGGCACATGTAATTTGCCAACAGTTAGTCGTCCAGTATTTAAATGGGATTCCCATAGGATTCTTGTGAATGTTTTGCCTTCCAGATGTTAAATAAACCATATTTAAATACACCTGGGAGATATAACAAGTTGTAGTCCATGTTGGGGAAATCTTTATGTAGCCTTGTATTTGAAGAATCTGGAGCCTGCTGTGTGTCTTGTTTTAAACTACATTCCAACTAAAATCTTTGTGCAGGTGTGTTTCGATGTAGTTAATTTATAGATGCATCTGTTTAGCTGTAAATTGTTATATAGAATACCTTTTAACACACATAATACACACACAGGCACCTGCGTAAAACATAGCAAAGTCTTATGTCAGGGCTTACACAGGGCAACGCAAACCTGCATGTCTTTGATATAACTACTCTCTTTAAAAAAAAAAAAAAAAAAGACAAAACATCAGGCTCTACTCAAAGTTTCAAAACAAAGAAAATAAAAAAAATCTTGAAAATCAGTGATTTATTTTTTATTTTTTAAACTCTTCATTAACATCATAGTAAGAATTCTTTATGGTTAAACATTAGTACAAAGAAAATCGTGTGTACAGTGGCAAAACACAGAAGAGGCTCCTTTTAATAATCAGTAAACAAAAGTTTAAATACTGCTCACGATACCTCTGCTACTTTTTTTTTTTTTTTAAATAAGGTTTGGACTCTGTCTCCTTGGCTTGCATATGCTCTTGGGGTCTCTAGTAATGGTTACTTTAATACCCAGCACACATTTTCCTTCTTTTCTCTATATTTTTCCTTTTGCTTTTTTCTGTTTTTCTTTACAATCTCTGTCTTTCTGGTATGACTTCTGTGACTCATGCGGTTCCTTAATAATTCTAGGTTTATATTATTTAGCCACAGCCTTCTTTTGGCTGCATTGTTTTGCTCTCTTTTTGTTTGTCAACAGATTTATACAGCAAATTAGATATCATGCTTTACTATTTCACAATTTTGACAGTGATGTATTTTGTCTTGCCAATCTTTCCTTAAGGGCATAAAGAAAGAATTACAAATAAAAAGCCAATATGCTACTCTGTGTAGCTAGCTTTTGCTCCACACACCTTAGCTCCCTAAATAATATAATGTGAAAAGGATGTAGCACTAAATCAAAGAATCCTTTTCAAGAAGTACAAATTCCCAATAAAGTGCATGATATTCAGTGTGCTATGTAAAGTATATTTAATCCACAATTACACTTTATAGAGTATATACACTCTTTCACATTTATTATGCACCTATTGAATATTTTGTAATATTTGTTGTACTGTGCAGTGGGTAGACACTATATAATTTCCAGTTTTAACCAAGATCTACCCATTTGCAAGAGAAATATGACTTGAATAGGAGACCCCTTATCATTCACAGACCTAGAGTACTGTTTTTAAATCGAATGAGCTGTAGGCAGTCACTGCCAGTGTTATCTGAAACTTGTGCACATTCTTCCTTTTCCCTTTCAGCTGGTGAAACTTTGCATTGGAATGATTGATGCTGGAAAAGCTTTCTGTGCTGCCAACAAGCAATTTATGAATGGAATTCGGGACCTAGCCCAATATTCCAGCAAGGACAGTGTGATTGAAGTAAGTTGCTTTGCTGTTACAATCAAACCTGTGCAATGCTCGCTGGGAAATTGATATCTGTACATTTAAAAAAGATAAACATATTTTATGCTGACAGAGCTCTTTTAATGTCTGACTCTGGTCTCCATTTTATAGAGAAAGCATGCACTGTTGCCTAAAATGGTCTTCTTGGTGATAGTTTTTAATTTTGTATTGTTTAATATATACATATGATTTTTTTTAATTTGTTTGCAGAGCAGTTTAACAAAGTTTTCTGACAGTCTGCAGGAGATGATTGCTTACCATACAGTAAGTGCTTGCTTCATTTGTCCGATGGTAATTGGATAGAGTTCTTTGACAGATAAGGGCGTTTGGGACATGGTCATTTTGAGTTGTAGGACATTTGAGATTAACATTCTCAGACTTCTCTGCTTTGTAAACATGAAAAAAAGAAATCAAGTGAATTGCTTACATCAATGAACACATCAACTTATTTAGACTACGAGCAGAATTCCATAACCTTTTATGCAATAGTTGTGTATTGTTTTAAAGCAAAAGCCAACTTTTATTTTAACCTTTTTATTTGATACAAAATGTAAAAGTTCATTATAAGCGCCCTAAGAACTTTGCATGATTGCATAGAGTAGTGGTGTATAGAGCACCCAATGCCTACATTCAGTTTTGAGTGGTTTTGAAATGCAACAATTTCCATTTTGGGTTACTTGTGTTAATTCTGTTCAATTTGTGCATCTTAGACTGAGCTCTCTCTCCTAGGAGAGAGAACCGAACTGCGGACTTTAGTTCTTCCATGAATTGTACTTATACCTGTATGCTAAACAGTGAATCAGGCTATATGTAAAATGATAACGGCGCTGGTATCTGTTTTTAAAGCAGTTCTATTTATGCTCAGTAGAATTACTCCTAAGGAATAAACTGCTTTTCCCATAAATTATTACTGGGCATGGGTTTATTGGATAGTCAATAATGAGATTCTCCTGAATCCTCTCTAACTGTTGTGGAGTGGGTCTTACCTGTAAATGTAGGTAGACCCACTAAACGGTGATCACAGCTGATCATGCTGAAACCAGGTGCAGACTCAATCATCATATTCTTCAGCCAGGTACAAGAGCCAGCTTAAAAAGTTAGGAGGCAGTTTTTTTTTTTTTTAAAACTAGCAAAGTTTAATTTATGAGAAATATGCAATTCTTAAAGGGACACTATAGTCACCAGAACCATTACAGATTAATGTATTTGTTCTGGTGCTTATATAGAAAAGGCAGTGTTTACATTGCTGCCTAGTAAGACCTCTAGTGACAATCACTCAGACGGCCACTAGAGAGTCCTGTGTCAGTGTTGCACAGTGTGCACCATCTATGTTCAGTGCCTCCATGCTGTGCATAAAAACACCTCTCATGTGATTGAAGGGGGGCAGGTACCTAAATAGACACACGAACACAAACTGAGAGAGGCACACACAGACACACTGAGAGAGGCACACACAGACTGTAGTGATACCGGTGCCGGAATGACGTCATATTCCGGCTCCCGGCATCACTATACAGTGGGAGGGAGCCGAGAGAAGCCGCTGTTTTCCAAGTCGAGCGCTTTAGCTAAAAGGCAGACACATGAAAACTAAACTTAGATGTGCTCAGATTTCAAAATATTGGGCTCGACAAATCCCAGGTCGACATGGCGACTAGAAATTTTGCCCTGGCGCCTGGGATTTGTTGAGCCCAATATTTTGAACTCTGAGGACATCCAAGTTTAGTTTGCATATGTGTTTCATTTTAAAACCTTATTTTGGGTTTCTATATTTTAAAATGTATTTCAGGATCAAATTGATGACATGCTATTTAATTATTATTTTATTTTTTTTGTATATAAAGGCTTTGTCATTTAGAGTATTAAATGTTCTAAACAAGGGAGAACCTGGTGAAAGCTCTATGCCATTGCACATTGAACTGTTTCAGTTCCTGGTTAAATGTTACAGCATTTCTCCTGATAATGTGCCAGGAAAAGGATATCCTCCTAGTGAAACATAGAGAAATCCATTCCCTAGCACAACTAGGGTTCCTCTATTTGTTTATGTTAATTGCCAAGTACCTTCTAAGTTACATTTTGCCATGTTTTGAAAGTTCTAGGAAAACTAGGATACATTTTTTTTTTATGGCATGGTTTTTCCCCACCTGCCATTTACCATACTGTTAAGAAAGTGAAATATTTCAAAAGTATGATTTTTCTTTGGAAGAAAGATCTTGTTCATTTTAATTTTGCAACATGCATAAAGGGAATATACCATTACCTAAATTATGTACATAGAAAACTTGCGAGAACTAATCACCCCTACGATGTGTCTGTCTTTTCCTGAATCTCTTCTTACCTAATTTTTTTTATTTTCCATTTCCCTAGACCTGATCTGTTGTCTATATATCTGTCGGTCTATATTATTTTGGTCTCTATGATTCTCTCAGTATTTGCTCCATTGCTTTGAACTCTGTGGGTGGATATGTATGAGTAGTATGTTTTGAACAGTGCTCTTAAGTACTAAAAGTGGAGCAGTCAACATGGGAACCAGTGGAACTAGCGTGCATGTTGCACCAGTGACTTTGTCCCATCTCCATGTTTGCACTATCTCTTAGATCATACACTTTTAATACAGCCTCTATAACGCTCAGCTTCTATGCGTCTTCCTGTCCTCATCTCTCCCTTTCCCCTTTTTCCTTTTTCTCAGCCTTTCACTCTCCTGTCTTCTTCATTCAGCCTGTCTTTTCCTTTGTTTCCTTCTTGCCCAATTCCTCTTGCATTGATTCTCATGCCCCATATATGTGTGTCTGTAAACCCGTGTTGTTTTACATCCCATTGAGTACTTTCCCCTTTATATATGCCTATTTGTTCTATTTCCCCCAAAACACTGCATTTTCAGCCTCCTTGACTGAGATAATCAGAATTGACAATCTCAGTCAAGCCAATGCTTTTATTATGGGAAAGCATTGGATTGGCCGAGATTGTCAGTTTTCATGATCTCAGCCATGGAGGTGGATCGGGGGCGGAACCAGCGTCAACTGACCCACGTTGTGCTGGAATAGAGGTATATTTTCTACCTTTATATGGGGGATCCTGGGGGGCTAACATAGTTTTTAAACACTCTATAGTCAGGAAAATAAGCATATATTCCTAATCCTGTAGTGTTCCTTTAAAGTAAGAGTTGTTAGACATTCAAAGTGAATTTCCAGTTTAAGGGCAAAGTAGATAAAATGGAAACACAGCCAAGCTGGAAACATTCTCCAAGTCACCTATTTTGGACTTAAATTGGAAATTCTCTTAGAATTCCCATAGGTTTTCACTTTAGTTAGCAACCCTGTTAGTTTGATGGATGGGATGTGTTCCTGTGAACCTCCTCAAGTTCAGGCTGTCACAATCATCTTCTATAGTTTGAGCCAAACAGGAACTGGTTCTGTTATGTAGAAAATCTTTGGAGATGCTAATTGTAAACCCTGTTGCATGCATTTTTTTTCTGAGAATCTGATAGCAATAAACATATAGTTTCTGTGTCAACAGTATTTTGAAAACCCGTTCATCAGATCTTTTGAAAAAATGTTTTCTTTTATTTATTTATTCTTTTTTTTTTTCACTAACTGCCATTAAGTTGTTTCAGTTTTTCTGCTTACTGTTTGAACTTGTTCTTTATTCATTTAATCTAAATAGATACTATTTGACCAAGCCCAGCGGTCCATCAAAACTCAACTTCAGACATTCGTTAAAGAGTAAGTTATAGTTGAAAATTAGTGCTTTGATGTGTTTTCTAAACCAATTTGTTTGCTATCTAAATACGAATGGGAATACCAGGCAAAACTGTGTATCTAGCCAAATTTAGGCGAGAAGTCCGATATCGGTTAGATTCCTTGCAGTGCTCCATGTGTAGTCTATTTGGTAAGGAATGTTGGGTATGAATTGCATTGTAAAAAAAAAATATATATAAAATTTTTTTTTTATAAATATATATATATTGTTGTTTAGCTGGTCTTCTCTTTAGCTGGAAGGACTTCAGTTTAGCCATATACATGTCTGATACTGATAAAATTAGCACAGTTAGGTTGGGTAAATAGTAACATTTATTTATCAGATAATGACCAGGATGCTGTGCTGTTTCCATTTATCCTTTCCTTCATACCACATCAGTTCACCAATCCTCCCACTTATATCCTAGTTTTGATTACATTGTTTCCATACTGTGTTAGAGTTCTCTTCCACATTCCATTGCTTCCTCTTTTGGTTCCTTGTTCACCACAGCTCCTCTGTGACATGCAGTGCTAAGCTTTCATTTTATCTTAGATGTGAAGGCTTTGCATTGTTAAATATGTGCCTCAATGAGCAGTGTAATATTAGGGTGACATTTTCAGTTTGGACTTGTTTTCGTTGTCATGTTTCTCCTGTTGCTATGGCATTTAACCCGATAATTCTGTTTTAAGTTTCCTCAGTAACATTTTGATCTCTTTCCTGTTCACTCCACATTTGTTTCCTTTTTTTCCTCAAGTTAGGTTTCCATTATATAGCCCACATTGCATTGTCACTGTGAATTTAATTAAAGAGGCACTCCAGACCCCTAAAGCAGTTTAGTTTGTTGAAAAGCTTTATGTGTGAATAGTGTATCCTATTTTTTTCATTTTGCAAAAAGTGCAGAATTCAATAGAAATGGACACTTCTATGAATTAACCTGGTTACACCCCTTTGGCTTTGAAGAAGACAGCAGGTTCGGTTACTTCCTTGTTTGGTTAACTTAATTGCACTGAACTCAAGAGTCAGCAATTGCTTAGAACACCTGCATTGCAAAAACGTCTCGTTGAACTGCATTAGAAAGTGATTAGACAGCCACAGAAAATCTGGGCGGTGTTTGAAGGGGAGGGCTAAAAAAAAAAGAGACATACATGGTTAAAATTTTATATATAACCCCAATAAAAAAAATTCAAAACTAAAAGCATGCATGCTGTTGCTTGGGTTATATCTATCTACCAGTGAATTTTATTTAATTTTTTTTTTTTTTTTAAATATATATTTATTTATTATTTTATTTGGGCAGTGGAGTGTCTCTTTAATCCTAATATGCAATGACACATTTGCTTTGCAATTTTTCCTCTGCTGCACCAACTGAGTAGATAACCCCTCATGTACTGTGTATTCTAGCCATTGGTGGAACCTGTAAGGTCAAACTAAGAATGTGCAAGTATTTATACACAATTTGAACACCCAGAATAGCTTTAAAAAAAAAAATTAAAAAAAATAAATTAATAATAATAATTCTGTGTGTAAACCAATTACCTGACCCTCAGGTCTGTAAACCTCCTGCTGACCGTTAATGTCCTCTGTGATATGAAGGCAGAAAGATCACTATGGGAGTAGTATAGTGTACATCTACAGGTTCGCTGGACTCGTTAGGCATCAAGCAGCATCCCAGTTTTGCTGTCTGTTGGCGGTCAGAAAACACTTGGTGTCAACAACATATCTTGTAATAATCATTCAAAACACAACTAGCTGTAAAAAGTATATATTGGTTTATACTTGTTAAACTGAACAAAACTCTGGTCTTACGCCTCTCTTCCTCTGTGTATCTGTATGAACTGTATACAAATGAGAGGGGATACACTATATTCATGCCTCTTCTTTTAGAATGTGGTTTGTATTGAGATTCTTTTTCTGGTGGAATAGAGCCTTAGTAAGAACATCATGTTCCCATGCCATCTGCTAGGAGGTTTAAGCTTAGTTGAAAAGGAAGATTGTAACAAATTGCTTCCATTTTGTACAGAATTGTAGCAGAACTCACAAACAGGACATTCAAGAATATATTCAAGGTCAATATATCGGCACAGAAAAAAAAAAAATATCGGTCTTTTTCGGTTGTCCACAAATGTAAGACGCCAACAGTTAAATCTAGTTTTAGACTACACCATCTTACAATAGGGGAAAATTATATTTTTCATGTAGCAAAAGAAATTTACATTTTCGGATTTCTTTATTTTATTCCTTTTGACAGAAACCATGTCAGCTGATGCCCTCAGCAACTGAATTCCATTCAAGTAGAGACAACTTTGCTAAATAATGCAGAAGTAGAACTTCCTCTTTAGATATATCAGAAGATATACATTATACAAAAGAGCACCTTTTATAATACCTTTTATAGTTAGTGTTCGTAACAGAGTAGATATAGCTGCAACAATCTTTCCATTGTCCTTCCGCTTTATTAAAATGGATGAGGTGGGACATGAAGCTCCTTGCTGGTTATACCTAAGTATTATTTATTTTATGCACACATTTTAAATCTTTCAGAATGAGTCATGGGATACTGTGTAATTAATAAGACTTTATGTGTATACATTATATCTGCAACAATGAGCAAGATAGTATTTTTTTTTTTTTATGTATATTTACCTGATATTTATTTTTGTTTCTGAACCCCGTTTTGTAAATACTTTGCATGCAAACTGCACTCAAATTCTTATACCCTCCAAGTTCGGAAGTTTTTTTTAATTTTTTTTAATTGTCTTTAATGCAACTAACCAATTATGCTTGTGTTTTCAGAGATCTTCGAAAATTTAAAGATGCTAAAAAGCAGTTTGATAAAGTTAGTGAAGAAAAAGAAAACGCACTGGCGAAAAATGCTCAGATTCCAAGAACCAAGCAGCACGAGGTGGAAGAAGCAACGAACATCTTAACTGCCACGCGAAAATGCTTCCGGCACATTGCTTTAGATTACGTTCTACAGGTAATGGACATGAATTTATACCTGTATTCATGGCTTCTTCTGAAGATAAAAATGTGTTGTGATGTTTAAGGGCTATGGTCACTTCCTTTTTTATATTGGGGTTCATATCCTTTATAATAATAATAAATATGTGTTTTGTGAGCACTAAAAATAAAATCTAGAAACCCGCACTATTATTTTCTGGAACTGGGCACCTCTATCTAGGCTCACTGTCAAACATTGTAATAATTTGCCCTTTTTTGTTATTGAATATTATGTGTAGTAATGAAGAAACAAAATAAATCTGGACTACAAATAAAGTTTCATTTTGAGGCAATGTTCTAAAATTGGAATAGTCACCATGGAAATAAAAAGAATGTTCATACTGATCATTCCACTTTTAGCTCTTTGCCCCAGAATTGCTGTTTATATAACTCCCAGAGTTTCTATTCCTCCTCTTCCTATTAGTTTTGTGCCCTAGCATTGCCAGGCTTTAACTTGCAAATTGTTAAATTTTTAATACACAGAGAAAACAGAACACCAAATGGAAACCAATGGTTAATTCAAATAATAGGTAATTTTCAGGGTTTTATTAGATTGGAGATTTTTCCAGAAAAAGTATTGTTTCCCTTTAAAAATAGCAATAAGGTCCTCTTTAGATGGCTATATGTTTCGTCTATATGTTGTTTGGTTTGTCTCCAAACACCTTGCCTTCCTAACTGGTTTTGCATAAATGTATGAAAGGTGAAGGCTGCATAAAAGTGTTTTGCACCTTGTTCAGAGATACTCTATTGAAGCTTTAAGAATAGTACCTGTAGTATTCAAAATGAGAGGTATGATGAGACCGCTATAAACCACCAATGAGTCATCGTGATGACTGTCTGTTGTAAGTTTTTAAAGGCAACCATCACAAACTGCTAATAAGTCCTGATGGCATAAATTGCTTTACTTTTGTTAGTTAAAGGAACATTAAAGCATTAGGAACACAAGCTTATATTCCTAATGCTATAGTTCCGCTGTTTTTAGTTATATCCTTACCTTCACAAAAATATAATTGAGCATTGGGAACCTGGTGCACCTGCTTTCCTATGAGCTGCAACATCATGTGATCACATTTTACTCTGTCAGTGCAGAAGAATTGTCTCTAGGGACTGTTTGTAAGCATTGTCAAGGTTAAAATGACAGGACCACTGGACTCAGACCACTTCTAGTGTTTCCTTATCCTGAATTATATACTATATATCTATAACTATCAGTATGTAAGTTATACTGGATCCATTCTTTGTTAAATTGTGTTCTGTTTGCAGATCAATGTGCTTCAATCAAAAAGAAGATCTGAAATTTTAAAATCTGTAAGTATACTCGTTGTATCACTCTGTAAATTATAAAGGGACACTATAGTCACCAGAACAACTACAGCTAATATGGGGACTTAATAATGTAGCTCTTTCAGACGCACATGTGTATAAAGTTCCTCTCCACACGCACACACTACATAGACACCGGGCCTTGAACTCTTTTAGCAGCTGCGGACAGCTCTCCAGAGCCCCCCAGTAGCGACACTAGCCAATGCACCATGCCCTTGACATAAGGCCAGACAGCACATAACCTGAGCGGTTAATAATGTCCTCCTGTGAGGCCGACTAGCTAAAGATACCCGTAACATGACTCAGAGAATACTAGAAACACGTCTGATATGCTCCTGGACCATGTAACACATACATGTCTGTTTGAAGGTTACTCGCTGTTACTTAGTGTTCTTACTGTCTTTTACCTCTTGTTTGTACTACTACAAAAAAAAATTAATAAACACGAGATTGTTTAAAAAAAAAAAATAGAAAAAAGCTAATGAGTTCTTTAAAAATATTTTTATATTTTGTTGCATCACAAAGTCATCCTTTTTGCAGATAGTGATCTACAAACATCCAAATGCCTGTTCGTTAAAAAAGTAGCCCATGTGTGCACAATATTATGCTCACAATGTTATTTTCGTTGCTGTCGAGTGTAATCAGAAAATAAAATACCTGGATGTGAGCCGAAAGTGCCTTCAGGGGCTTATAAAGCACAGTAACAGTTTCTAAGTTGCTGAGGAGTACAGAAATTATACTAAAAGGTGTAAAGCCATAATGTACACTATAATAGTTGTATTGAATATACTCTAAAGTACACACTGCACTGTATTCTATATTTGTGATAATTCCTGTACTCCTCAGCACCGTGGGGAATTGTTACTGTGCTCTAAGTCTCTGAATATATACTCTGCACTCTTGTTAATGCAAGCGGAGTATTGATTTCTGCTCAGTATTCCTATTTGTGGGGGATGATTACACTGTTCACTTCTGTTTCTGGGTATTTGAAGAACATTTCTGTAGCTGCCACAGAGCTGGAAGGAGCCTGAAATGAAGATTTGTATGTTCTGTTTCCATGCTTTTTTTTGTAGCTTACTGTTATGGGGATAAGGTGCTTCACGAATACATTGTTATTTGATGGCTTTAGTCTGTGGTTGTAGTGTATGCCATTACAAGAGGACTGGACCTGTACCGGTTTGAATTTCAGAGCTGTGAGCTGCAGTGTGTTGCAGATTCCCCTGGAATGCAAACTTTTGGTATATTTATATAAAACTTGTCTATTATTAGTATGTGTTAAAGTTGTTAATCTTGGGGCAGTGTCGACCAGTGCTATTTTGTGTGTTATCTTGCATATGAGAAACTGTAAACTCAAATCTCAAGTAGTTGTTTTTGTTTTTTTTGTAGAAATGGCTAAGGAGTCTTGTTTATTACATATCTTTTTTTTTTTTTTTTCTACTATCACAGATGCTGTCTTTTATGTATGCCCATCTAGCCTTTTTCCATCAGGGTTATGACCTTTTCAGTGAACTTGAGCCATATATGAAGGAGCTTGGTGCACAGGTAAGTATCCATTTTTCCCTCATCTTTCTGGGGAATGTCATGAAGTGTTCTTGGTTTTATAAAGAATCAGAAAGTATCCTAAGAAACCAATGAGAGAGTAGTTAATATTAGAGGACCACAACCCACAGCACACACACACCCAACAACCCTGTACCTTGTACGAACCACAAACCCCAAGTTACACAACTACCCCAAGTTATACTTCACCCAAAACCCCCCTCTGATACACACGACGACTGGGTGATCAAGCACAGACCACAAAAGTCCACAACTATACTCACAACACAGAACCCTGTAGGATTGACTCAACAGAAATAATCTACAAGTACACCTACATCAGGGCAACCAGAAGGGCAAATGGTCACGCCCCCTCCACGACATGTGCACTCTAACAAATATTAACCTTTCCGAAATGTTATCTCTATGTGTATCACATGTATAACATCGCTACAATGAAAATGTATGATTGTATGTTTTGATACCTCCCTTCCTTTATGTAACCCCTACCCTTGTTTCATAAAAAATGAAATAAAGAATTAAAAAAATAAATAAATATTAGAGGACCTAGAAATTGCTATTTAACCTACCTCTAATATGGTGTCTCCAACTCGATTCATTTTAAAATTAAATCTAAAAGGTATTCATTAATGAACTAATTGTTCAGTCAATTTGATATACCTGTAATCCAGCATAACTGTCCTACCTAGCTTACTGCTACGGTCCACCCTTCACTACATGCTGGGTTAACATAGTATGCAGTCTGTTCAGGAGCTACCAAGCCCACCCATATGCATCAACTTACATGTCCTGCATTCCTGACAATACTCCATTTCTGTCTTGGTGCCATATTCATTGTGATGCAACTGGTATGTCAGGGTAGTTGAACCTCCTCCATAATCTCACTTTTACAGATTGTTGCCTACCAACCTATTTAAAATTATGCCACTCTCCACACTTTTAAGAACAATAATCAGCAGTCTCTTTTGTAGAAGTGTGTTTAAACATTTAAATCAATATGTTCCTCCAATATAAGATAACATTCCATAGCATCTCCCTACCCACCATTTTTGTGCAAAACTGTTTAACACCAGTTGATATCTGTCCCCGGAAACCTCTTCTACTGATTATTCTTCTGTTCGGACATTTTTTTTTTGTCCCTTGTGTCCACATTCCAGATTTGTTTCCTCACAAATCCCTTACACATGGATATAAATAACATAACCCAGATTTTCTCTAACAAGTGGGAAAAACTGACATCACTGAATTTTATACAAGAGAAGTAAAAATCAATCTTTTATTTATGATCAACGACAAGTAAATAAACGATCATAGAAAACATCAGAAGTAGGATCATGAACAGAGGTTTATGTTTAATATGTAACATATTTAACAAGGAAATTTGGGTTGAAGATGTAGGATGACAAAGAACTGGAAGTGAAAAGGAGATATCTTTGGAAAGAGCTGGGAAACCTTTGTATACATTGAAAATAAATAGGAAATCATGTTCCTGTGCAATCTATATATTTAGAACATACTGACATGGTAAAGTCTCATTTGTGTAGTTTTACTACCATTTGCTCTTTATACACACAATATATTCATATTAAATTATATACCCTTTATTGGTTTTATAGACCTTATAAGTAGAAATCTTTATGAGCAAATTTCTTTTTCATCACGTTATATCAAAGCCTGTACAATCTGCACACAAGGAACTATGTATTGTTGTTTTTTTTTTGTACAAATACATTATCAAAGTGGGAATATATAATGTTTAGTATTATCTTCTGCCTTGCAGTACTCTGTAATATGTGTTTTGTCTGTACACTGTGGTTTTACTCAAGTCCCCCTGATGGCTTGTGGAACTGGTTTTTAGCCTTGAGGACCAAAGCTGAACCTGCTATAGCATTTGTCCATTCTCCCTGTCCACGAGGGCTCTGTGAAGCACCCTCCAGGAGTTATTCTGACAGGTTTCCCCCCCCCCTCCCCCCTTCCACAACCTTCACTCGAGGTCACTTGAAGGAGTGTTAAATTAATATTTTGCATTTCTCCTCAAACATCAGTCAAGATTTGAGGAATGAGTTAATATATTTTTTTTTGAGGGGGACATCTGTTTATATAGGGAAACACAAGGTGTGCTTAAAACCGATAAAAACTGATTTCATTAAATTATACCTACTGCTGGTGCCAGGGTGTCTCAACAGCACAAATTTTAAGTGGCAAGCTGTACTGATTAAATTAAAACAACCCAAACAACCTAAAACACCGATTTTGAAAGATAACTTACAAAGTGCACTAAGCGTCCTGTTATTCCAAAGCTCACAGTAGTGCCCTCTTTAATTACAGATAGGATTATTTGGGGTCATTGCCATAACAAGATGGAGAGATTATCACCAAAACACTGTGGTAAATTAGTTTTAATAATATGACTGTCAACGAATTGAAATTCATCAGAATGTTCACCTTTCCTTCAGTAGTCCTTATGGTGACATTTCCCATCTTGTGCAGATCTGTCCTGATATCGATTGATCCTCCAGCAGCTACTATACAAGGTCACTCATTGTCAGAGAAAACATCATTGGATTTCTTATAAAATCATGGTCTGAGCATACAACTTCCACAGAGCTCCCTGGTTCAAAGCTAAAGGGTACCATTTCTGGGGGATTCCATCATAGCCTCAGAGGATTCCTGGGGGCTTTGAATAAATTCTGTCTTCTGATGAGACCCAACATACCTTTCAGTTAGGAATGCTTGTCTCACACAGAAGAAAATGTAATGGTCTGTATATAATTGTGGTTTTTGAATAGGGTGAGAAAAGAGCAGAACTGGTCAGTCAATTAAGTACAAAGCATTTAAAGAAGATATCTCAAACTGTGCAGTCCCAATTTTCAGTCAAAGAATTCTGAGAGTCGATGGCCGCTAACGTCTTGGGATGGGGCAGAGTTCGAGGTCTCTGATTTAAAGTAAGCAGGGAGAGCGTTTTGGACTTGACACAATTGCAGGGAAGTGATGAGAGCCTGGATGGCTGTAAGGAGCAGAGATACTTGGTATCTTGCAGTTTGCTGATGTATACTGTGCTTTTGTGTCAGTAGATTTATCTGAGAGACTCAACTCACTTAGCCAAAGCAGTATGGACTTACTAATAAAATAAGTAGCATTTTCCAATGCTTTAATTTTAAATTTTCTTTCTTTTTTCCCCTTTTTTACAGTTGGATTCTCTAGTTATTGATGCAGCAAAGGAGAAGAGAGATATGGAGTTGAAGCATTCTACAATTCAGCAAAAGGTACCAATGAGAAGCTTTTATTTACAAATGTTCCATTTACTTCTGTGCTGCCTGCTGCTTTATAGCTGTAACTATTAGCTCAAGGATGAGCATTTGCATGTAAGGCTCATTGTCTAATATGCTTGGGTTGGATTTCCAATCAAGGTCACAGTGCAGATAAGTAAACCGTTTTCTGAATTATTCATTTAGTACTACAGCCTTATCCAAGTAATGAATATAAAAACAGATACAATGTGAGTGAAGGAAACCGCATGCCATTTGAGGTTTTCTAAACAAAAAAATGTATGTATGTTATTTCTGTATGTGTGCCAATGTAAAAGGAAGTGTGCTGAGGCTATGGTACTAGCAGTACTCTGGGGCCATTAGGCAGTAACTAGTCAGACAGTTTTGAATAATTTTGACACTTATCTGGATCCACTGACCATCTCCAGGCTAGGTTTTTTTCTGCTGTATCGAAAACAGAAGTTCCATTTCCACAACAGATATATAAATTGCATATTTTAAAAATAAATAAAAATCAGCTGATTTTCGCAGCCAATATATATTTTTTTTTTTGTCCAAAAACGGGTGGAATTGTCATCACTAGTATAGAAATAAAAATGTCTGCATTATTATTATTATTATTATTATTATTACAAATGGAAGCCAGACAGGTGCTGCTCCAAGGAACCTAGGTAAGAGTCAGACGAATTTAAAACACTGTGATTACTATGAGGCAGTGCATTGAACTTCTGGCACGATAACCACTACAGCAAGATGTAGTTGGTATTGTGCTTAGACTGCCCTTTTAAATAATCACTCGAAGCACATTCATAACTTTTCACAATTGCAAAGAAGATAATGCATAGTGCTGCGTGAGCCTGCAATGAAAGTGCCTTACAAATACAACAATCTTTGTTTGTTTGTTTAGGAGATATCTCTTAAACCTCCAATTTTATAATGTATTACTTGATGCTTTATTGAACACTCCAAACACCATAAACCACTCCCCCCAATGTGAGTAGTCTAACTGTTTGCTAACAGTTTGACTTCTTACCTGGGTTGTGTTGGTTTCTGGTCACTTCCTGCTGTGAGAGTCTTCAACTCCTGAAATGTTCATATTCATGGAGCACATCTGTCTAAATTTCTGCATTAACTTGCTTCTGGAAAATGGCTAGACATTAGATTATATTGGCTGATTATAGTGTGTGTTCCTTTATATTCATTTCAATATGAATGGGAATATTTAATTTCCTTGCAAACAGTGACCAACCAGTTGTGATGGTAGAAAGAAAACTCTCTGCAGTGACAGGTACTATTTAATTGGGATACTGATACTGTTGTATATGCACTTAAAAAGTAGTTGTTTTTTGTTTTGTTTTGTTTTTTAATGTTATCACAATCACTGCTTTTAACTAATGGCTACTTATGTTTTCACTTAAATCACTTTAATTTTTACATAAGGTTGGTGTGTACTGTGCTTGAGTACGTGGTGTTTACTTCATCACTTTGGGGGTATTTTTTTTTTTATTTTCTCCATTCTCAATAATGTTATTGTCTGTATAGCTTTCTTCCCTAACCCCATCCTCCGTTCGGGACGTTAATGTGAATGTTAGTAGTTTCTTATTTAAAAAGCATTGTAACACCCGGCAGGAGGAGAGAAAGGCTAGAGTACAGCTAGGATTAGCAGACCGCCTAGGGGGACTGGTGTAAATTAGCATACGCCTATCGAAAGATTGAGGACATTAATGCGTACAGTAACTATATCACCACTGTCTTTAACAACCTTGAAACTACTGTCCTTAGATAAGAGTCTCATCGCGGCAATCCGCCAACAAAGCCTACTCCTCAAACATACTGCCATTGTATATAATTGCACCTGTTTGAAAACATAAAAGAAAAATCCTGATGACAATGCAAACAAATTTGCTTTCTGTAACCCATAAACTGACATTATACTGTCACAACCTTGCATAAGTCTGTATTATCATGTCATTGCTTGTCTGTCAGAGCAAAAATAAGGAATTAAAAAAAAAAAAAAAAAAACAAGCATTGTAACAGACTCCTAATTAAAATGGGTTATAACTATAGCAATTCAGTCTTTAACCCCTTAAGGACCAAACTTCTGGAATAAAAGGGAATCATGACATGTCACACATGTCATGTGTCCTTAAGGGGTTAAAGGGACACTATTGTCAATAAAACAACTTTAGCTTACTGAAGATGTTTTGATGTATAGATCATGCCCTTGTAGTCTCACCGCTCAATTATCTGCCATTTAGGAGTTAAATCACTTTGTTTATGCAGCCTAGTCACTCCTTCCTGCATGTGACTTGCACAGTCTTCCTAAACAATTCATGTAAAGAGTCATCTAAAGTTTACACTTTCTTTATTGCACAGTCTGTTTAAACTAGAATTTCTTATCTCTCGCCAACTAGACCCTACAAGAGCCTCCTGTGTGGGCTTAAAGTTCAATTTACAGAGCAGGAGATAAATGTCTAAAGAAAGATAACATCTGATTGAAAATGAACCCATTTTATGGTAATGGAGGTGTGGCTAGGGCTGCATAAACATAAACAAAAGTGATTTAACACCTAAATGGCATAAAATTGAGCTGTGAGACTGCAGGGGCATGATCAATGCACTAAAACAGTCGGTGAGGTAGCTCATTTGGTAAATTCCCAAACTACAAAGCCTGTTCAAAAATGCAAGGTCACAGGTTCGAAGCCCGGCAGGGTCAACTCAGCCCTTCATCCTTCCAAGGTTGATAAAATAAGTACCATCAATTGATGGGGTAATAATAATGTCTATTACTATTCAGCTGCCGGTTTGGTTAATTCCGATAATGTTTCCTGAAAAGCGCTTTGAGTCCCACTGGGAAAAAGGTGTAAATACTAGTTATTGTTGTTATTATTATTATTATAAAACTGCTTCAGTAAGCTAAAGTTACTTTCATGCCTATAGTGTCTCTTTAAATTTTGATTAAAATACATGCAGTAGTTCCAGTCCTCCTTGTATGTATTCATCATTGGTTACAATTTTTTTACTAGCGCACTCAAGCCAAGCATGCAAGATTAAGTGGTAAAGCAGATATCATTATTACCTATCATGGTTGTTGCATCACACCTACAAGTCTATGTTGAACCCGTTTTTTCCCTTTCTCTCTCTCTTCCTCTCCTCTTTTAGGATTTTTCTAGTGATGAATCTAAACTTGAGTGTAATGTTGACGCAGCCAACGGTATTGTCATGGAGGGATATCTCTTTAAAAGAGCTAGCAATGCCTTCAAAACATGGAACAGGTAATAGCATGTTTTCCTCTGATGTCATACGCCTGACAATACGTGTGTAGTTTGCTTTCATATCATTTAAGCTGTTATTTATGGGTTAACAGTTAATAAAGGTTTACTTACCGAAATATTTCAAGAACAAACAAAAAAAGATTGTAAATGATAATAATGCTTCTTTATTAGCTATATTGTCAGAATACACAAGCTAAGCAAAATGATCCATGCAGAAAACTATGGGATTTGGTCTATTTTCATTTTAGCTTTGTTTTTATTTTTCATTTATTTAATGCTTTAGCTGCAGCCTTAATTTCTGATTTCAAACAATGCTGCTTCCCTTATTTTGGCTCATTTTCATTCCTTTTCCTCCTCCTTTCCAGTATTTTTTAATCCTGCCCCATTTTTTCACATGACAGGAAAAAGCCAGAGCATACCAGGTATCAACCAGCTTATTTGTACCTTCCAATTACTCCTTCCAGCACGCCTTCCTTTCTGTGTCATTCCAAGTTCTGTTTAGATTACCTGCAATGGAAATATCTCTGCTTCCTAAAGAACGATTACAGCAGGGGTGATAAAGGTTTCTTGCAATACAATACCTTGGATACAATTGCTCAATCTGTACGTTATGTCTATATCATGCTGAGAATCTGTACAGTTACAAAGTAAACAAACCATTAAGTTTGTTTGGTTTTTCAATATGACCATAACATTGCCATACAAAACTGCATCTATAAACAAACTTTGTGATAAATTAATTTTAAAAAAAAGAGGGGCTGGGGGGGGAAACTTTTGCAAACTGCTAATTTTTGTAATGATTGGAAAGTTTTTGCATGCCATACTAAACTGGCCTTTTACATTGATACTAATGTAATCGACCCACTCTAAATGTATATTCATACTTCTACAAATCAGACTTTCTATAAAAAAAAATTTAAAAAAATTTAGCACTAAGGCAAAGTATAAAGCAGAATCCTCTAAATAAATCTTAAAAACATGTTCTGTGCGAATACAAGCCAATATAGTAATTGTTTCTGTGAGATTTTCTCCATTGCATGTTCTCTCTCCTCCTCCTGGTTCATTCTGCTTTGTTTGCTTTCTGCAGAAATTTTATTTATATTTCTATATTTGCTGTTGCTGAAGTATAGAAAACCCACCTTTCCCTATCTCCTCTTCTTCTAACCGCTTGCATTTTTATTTTACTTATATTGCATTGATTTTATTTTTAAATAACTAATTTTATTGTATTGTGTTTTTGTGAAGTGTCCTATTGACGGTGTTTACTGCCTATTTTATTGGTCATATCTTTTTAAATGGTACTTTTCTTGCAGGAGCTATTTGACAGCATCCAGTAGTATGGGGTCTATGAAGTCAGTCTGTTTGGTTGATCTAAGCTTTAGCAGGCTCTATGCTGTGTTTCTTTTCAAGAATAGTAATATTCTGTTTTATATAATACATACAGATTTACACATGTCAGAAAACATTACATCTGTAACCATATAGGTTTAAAAAAATAAAAATAAATAAATCATACAACAGTGCAGAAAATAGAGTAAAAAGCTTTGCTTGCTAGGTGTATTTATCAAAAATTTTGGTTAACCCACCTCACCTATCAAAACGCATCAGGTAATCGGTGATAGAATCAACTCTAGCTATCTGAAGGAAGAAATTAGATATCTTAAAGGGAGCCTATATTCACCAGAACAACTACAGCTTAAATGAACACTACAGGGTTAGGAACACAAAATGTATTCCTGACCCTAGAGTGGTAAGACCTGGCCCCCTGTCCCCCTTTTAATATATGCCTCTTAACTGTCTTCTTGTCTGACATCATCAGAAGTGGTGATCTCAGCCAATCACAATGCTTTCCCATAGGAAAGCATTGGATTGTCTGAGCTTGTCGAGGAGGCAGATCAGGGGCACGGCCAGCACAAGCCAAACACAGTCCTGGCCAATTAGCATCTCCGCATAGAGATGCATTGCATCAATGCGGAGATGCTGTTTGTCGCAGCATGGTGTTTTGCTTTTCATGCGCAAAAGCCTCCCAATGCTTTCCTATGGGAAAGCTTCGGATTGGCTATGATCATCATATTTGATGATCTCCGCCATGGTGGTGGGACCATCGCTGGAAAAAGGTGAGTAAAATCACCTTTCTAAATAGTCATATTACTATTATAGTATCAAGAATACATGTTTGTGTTCCTGACAGTATAGTGTTCCCCTAATTTTAAAATGGGTAAAATTTGTATCAGTCTTTACGTTGGTTGATTACCAAGTCAGTTAAAAAACGGTATCTTATCTATTTATCTATCTGGCTTTGGCTTCCTCTCCTTTTCAGATTGAGTTACTAGTTCCCCTTTCACACTGCTTCATTCTGATTCCGTTCATATACCTAAATATTTCCAATGATTTCAAACCTGTAAATTAACTGTAATTAAACTATCTACTCAAATCTCAAAAGCCTTTTTATTTTATTTTAGAAATGTAAAAATAAATTTAGAGTTTTCTGTTTGCAGTGTCAGAATAGTTATATGCAAAGCAGTTTACACCCCAGGAAAAAATGTATAGGTAGCTAACATATATTTGTTGTGGACAAGTTACCATAGTATTTGCTTATGAATTATGGGAGCTGACCTTCCATCATTCACTAAATTGTGATTTCTAAGGAATTAAAATTTTCAGTTTTAGTCCCGGAGCCAAACGGAAAATATTCTCAAAATCAACTAGTTTCTGAGTTTGGCTATTTTGGCTTAAAATTAAAAAAATCACTTTGAATTCTCCACAAATTACCATTTACAGGGGAGGCTTGTCTGCTTTATAAAAGTTTATATGTGCCATTGTCGCCACCTACAGAAACACAAATCAATGAAGTACTGTTCATTTGGTTCATTGTTATGTTTTACTGGGGAAAGTGGATATTGAATTATATGTGCAAATGTATCCGAACACTGTGTTTTACATTTAATCAATCAGACTTTAAAATAACTCTTTGGTATTTAGAACACATTTGACGAAGAACCTTCCCTTTTACAGTTATCTCTTATTTGATTTAAAAAGGGTTAGCAAGCGTTAACGTCTGTTGATGTTTCATAAATCTTTTGGAATCCATTTAGCAAGGAATTCAGATTAGATTACCATGGACTATTCCACAATATACATGTTTTTCTTAAGCGTGATTGCATGTGTTCTTCAGATGTAGAGTAAGTGCAGAAACCAGTGAATCTGATAAATTGCAGATATTGTGCAGCACTCATTTTAATAAATAAATAGGCTGAATGTCCCTGTCAAATGACCTTCAATAGGCTGAAGGTCATTTGATGTTTTGAGAATGTCTAATGTATTGATATATATATATATATATAAAATCTCTCTATACTTTATTTTTTGTATTTCATATTCATGACAGTTCTCCATGTGTTGGGTGATTTTATTTATATAGATATCGAAGTTAGTTCATAGCTTTCACAAACTGCTCCGGTTTCCAGGGATGTGGTAGGTGTCCTTTCATGTTTACTAAGAAACTGTGTCCAAATTACTAATATTTTAAATAGTGTTCCACTCTGTGTCCTGTGGCCATAGTAACGTAATAACGGTTTTCCAAAACCATTAACATTAGTTATTTGCGTTCCGGGCTTATTCCAGATATTTGCTTTATGGTAGATTGAGGGACAGCTTTTATACTCTGTTAAATTCGTTATTAATATAGCCAGACCAGAAGTAAATATGTTACATAAAAGAGCATTCAGTTTCTCAGTATGTGATGAAACAGTCTGTATGATTTGTCAGATTATTAAACTGTGCTTTTTTTTTTGGTGTGTGATATTTATAAAGTAGCTGTTTGCATTTGCAAAAATAACACATTCTGCTGTATAACCAAAAACTGGTTTATTGTTTTGTTTTTTCATGGCTAGTTACATTTTGTATCAAACGCAAACCTGCTGTTCTGGAACAGCCTGGAATTCATTGCAAATAAGTTACCCCCGTAGTTTCTACACCTTTAACACTCCCCCAATAAATGCATCAATAGGGTTTTCTGAAGTATGGTAATATTTATGTATCATAAGACCACTGCTCCTCTTGAATGGCACATTTGCCCTCCGCATTATTTTGTCTTTTGTGTTTGGCACCCGTTTCATAGTGTTCGTCTAGTCTCCTCTTTGCATTTAAAATTTTTAGTAAATTTTTGTTTTTTCGGTTTTATTCTGAACCTGGAGCAAAACACAGGACAAGAGAGAACTTAGATATACATTTCTATTTTTTTATGCCTTTGTGTTATTTACTATTACTTTTTTTTTTTTTAACTGCTGAAAAACATGCTCATGCTGCATTTAAAAAAAAACAAAAAAAACCCCACCTTTTCTTTGTGCTTTATTAAAGCAGCCCTGTCACCAATAATTTATTTCTAATTCATTCTTAAAAATAGAATTGTTATGAAATACTGATGTGGACTGTGTTGGAATTTATTTGAAATGCTTATGCAGGCAAAAGATCTAAAAAGCCAAAGTAGGGACTAATTAATCCTATGGTAAATGCCTAAATCATCTAACTTGACAAAAGGCAGAGCTTCCGCAATTCCGTTTTGCCAATTCCAATAGCTGTCTGTAGTGACCGCTGTGTGAATCAGGCCTAGTCTTGCAGTCATGAAAGGGGAGAAGTGAATGGACCGTTTCACTGTTGATATAAAGTTACCATTCCAGAGGATAAGGATTGCTATACCAGTTTTAAATTACCTTTATTTTAGACATGTATTATTTAACTATATTTACCATTCCAGAGGATAAGGATTGCTATACCAGTTTTTAATTACCTTTATTTTAGACATGTATTATTTAACTATATTTACAGCACTGCTAGATCCTTCAAGATCCTTGCAAATACTCGCAAGTAAGATATTTAATATATTAAGGTAAACATTGCTGACACAAATAGATAGGTAAAAATGGTCAAACAACCCCTTCCGTGGATGTTATACTGACAGCCACTGGAGGCATTTCTGCTGTAAAGACGGAGTAAAACTTGGTCACGTGGCATGGCGGCCCCTAAAGGAAAGCATTGATGCAGTGTTTTCCTAAAGGGAAGTTTGGATTTGCATTAGATTGAACCATCGCAGAGGCCATGCCTACAGGATGATGTTGCAGGAGGTGGAGAGGTAAGTAGCACGAGGGTACCTCAATACTGGAAAAAGGTAGGCAATAAACCTGTATTTTATTATTTTAATAGCACAAAAGGGGTTAGAGGAACCTCTTTAACTAGAGACATGGACAGTAAAGTGTTAGGAATGCAGGTTTGCTTTAAAAAGAAGCACAGTGTCACACAGCATCTTGTGAAATAAGTTATAGGTGATTTTCAAAGTTTTATTTAATGGTGTAAATTACTCCAGAGAAATGCCAGTTCCCAGTTAATATAGTTTGGTCAGGGCCCGTGTACTTCTCATTAGTGCTGACTTAAATTTTTTTTTGTCATTTACTCAAACAGTTTGTTTTGTTTATTCATTGTAAAACACTGCAGAATATGTTGGTGCTTTGTAAACAAAGAAATATTTTTATTTAATTTTATTTAAAGGGGATGCTGATCTGATTTATTGATTGTACAGATACTAATTCTTATTAAGCTCAGGATCCATTCTCACTAACTTAAAATTGATCATTTTCTGCGCCAACCTATAGAAAAGCAGCATTGCAAGTTACATGAGTGCCTCCAGTTAAAGGGACACTCCAGTGCCAGGAAAACAAATCATTTCCTGGCATTGCAGGTCCCCTCTCCCCCCCCCACCACCCATCCCATGTTGCTGAAGGGGTGAAAACCCCTTCAGTGACTTACCTGAGACCCCGCCGATGTCCCTCGGTGGGGGTTTCAGGTCCGCCCACGCTCCTCCCCGCCGACGTCATCCGGCGGGAGAGACCGATCACGCATGCGCGGCCGCCGGTGGGGGAGACCTAATGCGCATGCGCGCCAATGCCGCACGCACTAGACCTCTCCATAGGAAAGCATTGAAAATACTTTCAATGCTTTCCTATGGGGAATTGAGCAACGCTGGAGGTTCTCACTGCTCTAGTACAAACTCTAGCACAAACCTGTGCTAGAAACCAGGAAGTGCTCTCTAGTGACTGCCTAGTAGACAGCCACTAGAGGAGGAGTTAACCCTACAAGGTTTATGAAAACTGCAATAATTACAGCTGCAGGGTTAAGGGTAGTGGGAGTTGGCACCCAGACCACTCCAATAGCAGAAGTGGTCTGGGTGTCTGGAGTGTCCCTTTAACAGATAAATCTAATATTTAAAGAACTGGAACAGACACTGCAGGTAACAAAGCAGCCAATTATTACCTGCATTGAGCTTTTATCCTGTCATTTATCTTCAAAGCACTTTCAAGAATTCAATCTCTATCCATTATATAGCCGCATACTGTCTCTCCCTCATGTGTAGCAGATTATTACAAAGACTTAAAGGGATTGGAAATTTGTAAGATAATTGCAAATGAAATCATTTTCTCCATTCCTCCTCACTGGGAATGTCCTCAAATTGCTTAGAAAAACACTTGACGTGTGCTCAGCATTGTATGCACTCTTGAAGTGTATTGACAGGTGAAATGTTCTTGCATCTTAGCAGACTGGCTTGAATATGTTCAGCACTGATTGGCATTAAAAGGGCCCTTCTAGTTAGCAAAGAGTTGCTTTACTTAAAATTTTGTAAAATAAAGTGATAATTATGCAGTTCCGTATAGAATTATGCAACGCAACATTTACATCTAATCCTGTTACAACCTGCAAAAAAAGATTAAGACACCCCAACATAATTCCTGATTTTGTTAATTTTATTATGTAAAAACTTTAAATAAACAAAAAAAAAACCCTTGAAAGAACTACTCAAAAAGGGTTCTTTTTTTGTACTGACCTATTGGGCACTAATAACTCTTTTAATTTTTATTTTTTTATTCGAAAAGCTGTAAATAAAGGCAGAACCTACCTTGAATCGAGCACCAGGCGATGTTCTCCTAAATCACGTGTGCCTGTAGTCCTCATATACAAGTTCCTTGCTCCATGACCACTTCTAAAAGCAGAAGTGGTCATGGACGTTGGAGTAACTTTTTAATCTACTGAGCCTTTTAAAGCAGCTTTGTCAATAAAAATAAACATTAACTTATCTGCTTATCTAGAGCTCTCTTTAAATTTTTATAAAATACATAAAGTAGGGAATACTCTACATAAGCAGTGAGGTGCAGTGTAACGTGACAGATGGGTGACACCTGCCTATTAAAGTCGGGCACAATCCTTCTCTAGATAACAGGACCGAAATCTTTCTGCTTTAAAGTAGTGGTGCTAGATAATTGCTGGGATCCCAGTTCTGTCAATTCTTCTGCTGCTAGGCCTCTGGTATTACGGCTCCACAATAGGTAACCTTCAGTAGTGGTTCTTCTGGGTTGGCAGTACGCTAGCAGGACTACAAATGGCATACCATAAGTTGCATGGGCACATTTAATGTAATTCCGAAAAAGAGCTAATGCATTTTGCGTTCTGCTCTCATGATAGGCTACTCGCCATACATAGGAAAAATATTAACTGAATGGAGGAAAAACTAGGATTAACATCTCCAAAGGCATTCTGAAGCTTCAACTGATCAAAAATAAATAATGTAAAAATAAAAGCCAGTAGTATGGTGGTTCCTCTAAATTGTGAAAGAACGGAGATGTAATCAAGGATAAAAAAAAAGTTATGAAATCTTGGTCTGTAAATAGTAAAATATAGATGCTGAACCAAACCTCCATAAGCTGATCCATTTATCTCAACTTAACTTAAAAATGCACATGGTATTTGGTAAGTGCCACATGTACACCATTTAGAATAAGGTTGCGAAAGCAAGATAACATGTAAGAAGAAGTTGGGATACCATGATCAAACTCTCATTCAGACACATAATAGCTCTTAAAGGGTTCTTGTCATTGTTTGCTACTAACGTCTGCAGCACTACATGGACTAACACATGCAAGGCATGGGTGGTGGTTAATGATGGATTTGGTGGTTGGTGTTTTGTGTGGATTGGGTAAACTACTCCTATTTAATTTAATTTTAATGCTTATTTACATTTTAATTAGAATATAGTGTAACTGCTGAATATGTTGACTTTTATTTTGAGTTAATGTATACAGTGACTGTCACTTTTCATTCCTACATTTAATGGTAAACCTGACATCTTCCGGCAAACATTTTTTTTTTTTTAAAAAAAGCCTCTTCTTCAGTAACATTATATTGATGAAGTCCATTTTCAGCAAAATGCCCTTTTAAAAACCTACATTTCCACGTATTTTCCCATTGTGTTCACCTTATCCATTTTATAGAAGAAATGCATGACCAAAAATATTTTTTAAATTTTTTTAATGTTTTTTTTGTAAGTGCTGGATTCTTATACAAGAAATAAAATTAACTCTGCTAACTGAGTAACAGTCCTGTCGTTGGTATCTATAGGTGAATAGCTATTAATTTGCCAGACTTTTTTAGGTTTATATATATATATATATTTTTGTTGTAAGCCCCAAAAAGCAGACCGCATAATTAGATGCAAGGTAACCATTACTGATAATGATGTTTTTTCTTAACATCGCTTTACCTACTCTTTTGCCTTATTGACTGTTAACACTGTAAAATTGCTATGACCTCTGCTTTTCTCGCTGTTCTGTGGTTAAAGTATATAAGGTAAAGAAATTGATGCATTTGTGTTTTAAATCCATGCAGGCGGTGGTTCTCCATCCAGAATAATCAATTAGTATATCAGAAGAAATTTAAGGTAAGATGTATTGACCTTCTCTTTGCTCTGTATAGATTGATCTCTAAGGAATCATGTGCTTTTCTAATAACAAATCCTGTGTATTGGGCATAGATGTCAGATATTTAGGACAAGTTGAAAAAAAAAAGCCCCTTTTTAAAATTTAACAATTCGGCTAGCATTGGTAGGTATATGTCTTGTTTGTCTTTAGTTTGGTAGCTCTGGGGTGTTATACCTTATATTGGTACAATTTTTATATCATATTAAAATTCTAATATAATTTTTTTTATTTTTCCTTCTCTATTCTGTCACGTGGCAGGGAAATGATGATGTGTAGTTTTAATTCACTAGCCCAATATCTTTGTTAATTGGCATAGCACTGCAAGATATAATCATTCTTTCCAATTAGCTGAACTTAGACTGTGAGATTTAAGTGTCAACACATCATTTGGTTTCCCTAAATAGCCTGTCCAAATGGCAGTATCCCTTCTAGAACTATTCACAAGGTGGAAGAGGAGACTGCATGTCATTGTTATGTAATTTAAATTATACATTACTTCATGGCATTCATCAGAGTCCCACATGCAGGATATATATATATGATCAATTATTGTTATACTGTAACCCCCTCTTGTCATGTGTCTTTATAGGATAACCTCACAGTTGTGGTTGAAGACTTGCGTCTTTGTACAGTCAAGCACTGTGAAGATATCGAAAGACGTTTCTGCTTTGAAGTGGTTTCGCCAACAAAGTAAGTAGCTTATGAGGTTGATCACCCAGCTATTGTTAAGCAATATGCTTTCAGCTGTCTGAAACTTGGCTTAGACACTTGTGGTAATATGCATGTACTGGTACTCTGTTATGGCTTGCAGACTTACCATTGGACTGCCTGTCTTGGGATTCTGGTGCTCCCATTGGAGGAGTGTTAGCAAACAACAGTGGATGGGGTTTGAACACATTTAGATTTGTAATGATGCTTAATGAAGAATTGTTTTACTGCTATGTGAATTCTCATAGTCTCTATTTTTATTGTAATGCATTTGCTTAGGCTCTCCCCAAGTTAAAAGGGTAATCCAGAAGAGGACATTGTCTTCACTGTCTATAAAGGGGTATCAGTTACACCTCGCTGATGAGGCTCAAAGAATGCTTAAACAATCATCCATAAACGACCTGTTCTGGATTGTCCTTTTGGGTGGGATAAGTCTTGCATGCAAATGATATAGGTTCTTTTTGTAATGGCACAAGTGAGCAAAAACGTTTTTGAAACCTGAGCGGGGACTAACCGAAGGGAAAGCTACTGAGTTTCTCAGAACCTTTTGTCCATTCTCAAGAGTTCTCATATTCTCTATTTTTGTTGCAAGGATCATTGGAAGATTATCACACCTCCAGTGTCATTTCTGCTGCAATAACAGCCAGACTCTGATATTCATTAAAATGCTTCTTATAGAGAGCATTTGATTGGCAATGAGTGTCAGTTTGCTGTGTATGTGCATTAGCCTCCCAATGCTTCCCTAGGGAGAAGCATTGAGTTGGCTGAGATCATAAAGATTGATGTTCTCAGCCAGAGAAGCATACCAGCAGGACAGACGTCCATGTTGCAGAGGATAAAGGGTGAGTAAAACTGTTTTTCTTTTTTCTTTTTTTTTTTTCTTTATTGCACATAGCTCAAAACGGTTAGCAGGACACTAGCATTAGGAATACAGTTTGTTTCAGATCTGGGGGGATCATCTGATTGTTTTCTATCTGTGGTGTAGCAATAAGCCCAAGATGCACACCAGCTGAACATCATGGGCTTTGTAGTTCTAAGTCAACATCATCCTTCTATATTTGCAGTTTTTTTTGCACTTCTGTATTATTTGTTATATAGGAGCTGTATACTACAAGCTGACTCTGAGAAAATTCGCCAAGCTTGGATTAAAGCTGTTCAAACAAGTATTGCTACAGCCTACAGAGAAAAAGGAGAGGAAGCTGAGGTTCGTACCAAAAAAAACATGCAACTAAATGTATGGCCAGGAAAGTTTGGGACATTGAATAGAGTGTAGAAAGAGTGTTGCACTGTTATTGTTATCACTGCTTACATGCCATGATGATGGTGCTGCTGTTGATTATGTTGTCTAGATACTGTTAAAATGTTTTATTTTTAAAGCTTTGTAACATTGCATTTTTGGGGGGTTATCTTTTGTCATGTAGAAAGTAGACAAGAAGCCATCGTTGTCCACGGGCTCAGTCGGTAGTCCAGAATCTGTGTCGAAAGAGAAGTTAATAAAGGGTGAAAGTGCTTTGCAACGTGTTCAATGCATTCCTGGAAATTCAAACTGCTGCGATTGTGGCCATCCAGACCCCCGCTGGGCCAGTATTAACTTGGGAATCACCTTATGTATTGAGTGTTCTGGAATTCACAGGTAAGTAGTTTCCATCTAACTACTGAGGGAGATAATGTGTGGTGTCTCTCCTTCTAACACATGTTGCTTTTTGGTTCCATTCACCCAATGTTTTCAGTGGCTGAACTGATAAGGAAGACTTTTTCAGTTGGGGAAGCGTGGATAAGTAGGGTAGACTTATGTTTCAGCATTGTGCAAAACCTTTTTTGTGCCAAAATTAGAAAATAAATAAAAACAGCATATTAATGAGGCCAAAGCATGTCAAATTCATTAAAATTGCGTTAGTGTCCCTTTTAAAAGGAAGTGGAGTATCTCAGAAATTGTCATCATGAGTTATACGTGATTTTCAGAGTTATAGGCAATGGTGCAAATTTTAAATCTTTTAGTGTAAAACCCCTGTTATTGAACAACCACTGGCATGAGCTGACCTTGTATTTTCACAGGGTAGTTGCTAAACATGTTGGCTCAGTGGCTGTACATGTAAGCAGCTTATTTTGAGAGCTAATGCCACTTAATAAGACAGGTGTTCATTTTGTTAGTAATGTTTCTTAATGTGCAATCAGCGTTTGTTCTGTTTGGTGTCACAATTATACATTATGCTTTTAAAATCATTTTTCTTTCCATGTCACAGGAGTCTTGGAGTTCATTTCTCCAAAGTGAGGTCTCTAACGCTGGATACTTGGGAACCTGAGCTCCTCAAGGTACATAACCATATCACATGAATTCTCATTCATTTCATCTATTTGGAATTCTTCCAACACACACTGCCAATTGAATATTTTAAACATTTTTAAATATAATGCATGACCTCTACAATCACAAATATGAAGAAAAATGTAAGGTTACTTTGCTGGCAAAATTTACTCTGGTGTACCTGCAGGCTAGAATGCAGGCATAATAATAACATGCTATAGCAGGGGTAGGAAACTTTCAGAACTCCATATGTTGTGGACTACATTTTCCCTAATGCTTTGCCAGAATTAAGGCTGTAAGAGCACTCTGGGAGATGTAGTCCACATCTGGAGTTCCAAAGGTTGCCTACCCCTGACCTACAGAGTTTTTTTTTTTTAATTTGCTAACTTAAAGGACAACTGCCATCTCAAACTGTTTAATATAATACTCAGTTCATCAAGTTTTGAAAGGAAATTATTTATTTTTTATGAAGTATATGTAAAAATATGAGAAACTTGTACATACATACACCTTATCTATGGTCTTGTCCTGCTTTACTACGTACACAGAAGCGGGGAAGACTGTAGAGACCAACTATCAATTTTTCTCCTGTATAATAAAGGTAGGGATAAGTTTTGATGATTATTATATTAAACTAATTATTTTGAGGTTACAGTTGTCCTGTGAGTGGATTGAAAATATTGGTTGTCAATGGTCTATTATGAGTTTTACCCTTCAGTTTTGAGTTTGTCGCAAATCACAGTTTAATGAATGAACATTTTGATGCTCCTGAGACAGACATTTATATAATACATCTGACAGTGGTTATTGCAGAGTTTGTGACCACTGAGCATAGAAAGACACGCAGAGAAGAAACTGATTAACTTAAAATGACATTTCTCCTTCCTTTTTCAATGAAAACAGGTGATGTGTGCGCTTGGAAATGACGTGATAAATGGCATTTATGAAGCACGATTGGACAAAATGGGTTTGAAGAAGCCACAAAATGGATGCCAAAGGTAACTCAACTTGTATCACTTTTCAGTTCAGGTGAAATCATTTTAGATTTAATTTGCTTATCTAAAATTACAGAATGTGTGCGTGTTTAATATAACCTTCCAATCTACATTTGAACTCTGTGCAAACAATGGGATAGGAGTGGCCTTCCTCTTTTATCCTGTTGTTTGCAGAGAGCTGTAACGTAGTGTAGGTTATATTGTACACTATTGCTTTTTGTCTATATTATTGCTAGTCTTATCTTTTTTTTAAACTTAATTGAAGTTGTGCATAAAGGTTTGATATACACATAAAATGTGAGAGTGTATTCTTTAAAATATGGCTAATGTCAATGTATTTGTATGTGGAAGACAGGAGATAGAAGCGTACATCAAAGCCAAATACGTGGAAAAGAAGTTTGTGGATAAATACGCAGAGTCTAAACTTGCAGTGAGGAAGCCAAGCTTATCCAGGAAGAGCAGTGAAAATCGTTTAAGTGTCTCCGATAAAGGCGCCCGGCTAGAAGAACAGAGTGTGATATCTTCCAGAAGTTCAGGTGATTACTAATTCAGTATTTCTGTTTCTAGATTTACAAAGTGAAGTTGGCTCAGATCCAGAAAACTACATAAACATGCTGATGTCATTTGAAATCCCTTATTCAGTAACGAGTTATAAGGCTGTGAGTGATTGTTTCATGCCAGCTTGTATTATAAATAAAACACAGTGGACATATTACATTTACACAATGCTTACACTGTTAAAATAGAAAGAGCCCCAATCTATTTTTAATTCAGCTTTAATTGTGGTTCAATAAAACTAGTACTAATTTATTAAACTTGAAATTGTAACTTGTACATCCCTATGGCAGAGATCAGATTCAGCACCAACAGGAAATGCATATCAAATAACAATATTCCCTTTACTGCACAATGGAATCTTGGGATATAGCCAATCTAGTTTTCTGATTAGCTCATGACATTGCATGCAACTATTCTTAAAAATATATATATAGATTTACTTATTTTCAGGGAATTGATTCCCTAAATAAACTGATTTGCAGAATGAATAGCAATATTTTGAATGTGATTTGTTGCATTTCTCTCCACGGTTTGTGGGTTAATGTAATTTAAATTGGACATTACTTGACTGTTCCTGTGGGTCTGTTTGCAATTGGCGATATTTCTGTCTTAAGGAACACTCCAGCAATCTAAAGTATTTTAGGTTTTCGAAGTGCTTTATGATTGAATAGTGTGTCTTTTTTTATGTTTTTTTATGTTGTTTTTTTTTTTTTTTTCACTTTACAGAAAGCCTAGATTTCAATAGAAATTGTCACTTTTACAAATTAAACTTGTCACCCCAGACAATCTGCCTTGCAATTACTTGCAATCATTTGAGATGTATTGTGAGGGTCTATGATTGGACAGCCACAGAAAGTCTGAGCTGGGTTAGAGAGTCACGGGGAGGTGGGGCTTGCAAAAGCTTCAGGCAAGAGAGCTTTTGCAAGCTGTTTTTAGTTATTCCCACAATGGCGGGAAAATGCAGCAATAAATTGATTATTTTTTTTAGGCAGTGGATTGTCCCTTTTAAACTGTCAACTTTTTTAGTAAGGGATGCTAAATACCCTTTGTAATAGATATTCATTCAGAAGAGACCAGCTTCTTCAAGGATAGCAATATTATCACCCAGTTTGTACTCTGTGGATAAAGAATTTTAAAAACCGAGCTCTAACAGTATCGAGGACTCCCAATTGGAAAAGAGGAGCATTCTCCACTTCCATTTTGTTCTTTACTAAAATGCTAATTGCTTAAAGTGTAGATATTGTTTTATGTTCAAATTAATGAATGACACTGTATATATTCTAGGTTTTCGACTACCCAACATAGCCTTTGTGCCACCAATTCTTTGTGATGTATTTGTAGCTATGGCAGATGGGTGGAGTGTTTTTTATTTTTATTTATTTTTGCTGAGTGTCAAAACAGCTGACCGTCATGATTTCTCTTCCACCAGAGAGCTGTCTGGTTTATCTTGACCCTCTTTCCTCTCTTCCTGCCTGCTTTATGCTTTGCTAACTTGCATGACTGCAGCGGTTGCTCTTAGCAGCGACGAGGCAAGGCGGGAGTCTCTGTTCTGCCCTGATGAGCTAGACTCACTCTTCTCCTACTTTGATACCTCTTCCAAACTGCGTAGTAGTAAGTAACAACTCTTGCGCACGTTTTGCTTTTTCCAGGTGCTGCTGCCTGTTTTTCACAGCCTGTGAGACCCCTGTCATATATTGAGTTGCTTTTAGTATTTGGTCATCGGTTTACAATATATTAATTTAGCGCACATTTCATGCTTTGTTCCGTGTTGTCTTGTGACGCCTGTCTAAGTGACTATAGTTTTTTTGACTGCAAAACTACTATCTGCAGATTCCTTTTCTGTTGCTATTAGATGTTGAATTTATTTTTTTCACCTTGTACAGTTTACTTATTAATAACTTTCATGAAACAAGTATAATTAAATGGTTCACTAATTTTATACTGAATTTGTAAATGTTAAGCTTTAAGAATTGAAGAATAACATGCTAGGTAAACTGTAAATGTATTGGGTTATATTTCAGCTTGTGCTGTTTGTTTCCAGCATAGTTTTATTATTCTTTCCTAAAGCTGTTCAGATGAGTGTGGATGTTCCTGTAGGCTATAGCTGGCAACTAACAGACCATGAGCTAATAAATTCTAAATTAGACACAATGTGCAGTAAAGTAAGTTTACACATTAGATCTCTTTTAACAAGAAGGGTTTTGGGAGGCTGTGTTAGTACAGGCAGGGTAGGTGTGACTAAGGCCGCGTAAACAAAGTGATTTATCACCTAAATTGAAAAGAACTGAGTAGTACACCAAAGCCACTTCATTATGCTAAAGTTGTTTTGGGACTTTTTGTGTCCCTTTATCTTGATGGGAAGAAAGCGTTGGGTAAAAAGTTAAATCTTTTTTATCTAGCACAGTGTATGTAATACTTTTAATTGCATCCAATGGCCTTCTTGATGAAGGCTTGCTTTCACCATTTTAAGAAACTGGAGGTTTTCGAATGTGCCAATCCAAATAGGTATCACATAGGATATAGAAGTTAAGTTATGCAAGTGTCAGCAACACCATATATGGAAAAAAAGTTAGGATATGGGACTCCGATGGTGTTTTTGAAGCTTGTCATCTTGAAAGTAATAAATAACCTTAGCAAAGTTAAACTCTGATTTTATCTCACTCTGGTGCTGTTCGCCTCTTAGTAAATCATCTGGGTTGAAGGATTCTGAATTAATATAATACAGATAATATGTGTATCTTTTAAATGTTTTCAAATTTTTGTTTTATTTTTTGGGGGATGGGGAGGCTATATACAGAAACATTTATACTTTCTGTAGTATGTTTTATATTCCTGAAATCCATCTTGCTTCAATTTCAAAGATAAAGTTTTGTTTTTCTCGTCTAGCCATATTTTTGGGGTTCATTTAGATTTGACATTTGCTGAAGTACGTATTACAGAATGTAATTTTTCTTATTTCCTAGTTAAAAGCAATGACAGTGGAATTCAGTTCAGTGCGGAGGGTAGCAGAGAACTTCTGTCGTCTGCAGCATCTTCTAACAGTCTGTATGATACAGGTTGGTTTTGCTCTTATAAACAAAAAAGATTACTCATTTGCTTATTGTAAAACCAGTAAGACTGCTTGGTACATCACACATTAAGCTTCTATGCACTGCACAACACCAAACTCAGTGAGTCGACACAATACCAGTCATAACCTTAAAATGAACAAGACCAATAAGGCTACTCGAATCATTTCACTGGAGGAAAATAAGTTGTAATACTTGTGTAACGCAGGTATTTAAACATTTTTTTTTTTTTAGGATTACTCTTTATTAATACCTATTGGTGTCATTTCAGAACATGATAAAAAAGATGAAAAACGTGATTCCTCTGTGTTTCAAGATACAAGTCATCTGAAGAAGCTTCTTCCTGGCCCACAGTTGTACCAGTCAGCATTTGAGCGAAATCTTCCAAGCATGGCTGAGGCCCTAGCTCATGGAGCGGAAGTAAATTGGGTCAACACAAAAGCAAATAATTCAACACCCCTCATACAAGCAGTGCGTGGGGTAAGCCATCCAATCCTATGCTTGTGGAGTTGTTTAACAGCAATTTAAGAATAATTTACCAGAAACTTTCCAATATTGCCATTGAGTGTAAGTAAGATGGTCATGCATGTAGTCCACCCTAGAACACTCTTGAATGTTAGTATGTGTGTATTTTTACACTGTTTTCATGTTTTCCTACTTTCCTATTAATTTCATCATTTGTATTTATCTCTTCTTTTAATAGGGGTCTCTGGTGACATGTGAGTTCCTGCTACAAAATGGAGCCAACGTTAACAACCGTGACGTTAAAGGACGTGGGCCGCTCCATCATGCTACCATGCTGGGGCATACAGGGTGGGTATTTGTGTTACCTATACACTCAGTGATCCTAATTAGACCTGGGTGCTTAACGATATGTGCCAGAAAGCTGATTTATTTGTTATTTTGACACCTAAATCCACGTTATTTGTACCCATAAACGGATATCCAATTCATAGATCATGTAAATCGACATATGCACTGGTTTGCCATATACAGATTTTCACACTTCTTGTTCCATGTGTTCACATGTTATGTGTGCATTCAGTGGCCAGAATGAAGTAGTAGAACAGAGAATATCCATTATCTAATATGACCTGAAAGTTTGTTTTTTTGTTTTGCAAGAAAATAGTAAAATGTATTGTGCACTACATTTGCAGAAGAGCACATAATGTGTTGCAGTTTAATGTAGGGATGCGTTATATTATCACTAATTTACAAACTCCTACCTAGAAGATAGATGAACAAAGCTCCAGTGGTTTTATTTTAAAATATACAGGACAGTGAATATGATGGTAAAATACTAGGGATGCAGAGTGTGCAGGTTACAATACATGTGTAGTACTGGATACACTAATCAGAGGCTTTGTGTTGCATGCTTGAGTGGCCTTAAACTCTTGTTTCTCTCACTATCCTTTTAGTAATGGGGAGGTTTGTGTAATTTTTTTTTCTTTCTATGTGCAACCTACTTCATTATCCACAAGAAAGTTTCCTACCCACCACCTATACCTAATGCAGCTTGGTTAAAATGCATCTTGTTCACCATACCTTTTTACGGGGCTTTAAATTGTAAAATATTAGTGATCCAGGCACACATTACTGAAATCAGAAGGTTACAAGATAATGAATTGACAAAGATCCCTTATTTATGTTTTGTTTTTTTGTTCTTTGCTTTACATAAACTTGTATATTCAGTGAAGTTATATTGTTTATCACTAGTATTCTGTTTGACTAACTTTTAACAGGCAAGTTTGTTTGTTCCTGAAACGAGGTGCAAATCAGCATGCCACTGATGAAGACGGGAAAGACCCTTTGAGTATTGCCATAGAGGCTGCTAATGCAGACATTGTAACACTGTAAGTGCAGACTGCTGGTTCTACATAATTTCTAAACCATGTTGTCACAATAGAGCCTATAATAAAACTCCTGTTTGATCACTCATGAAAACATATTCCATTTTTCATGCTGTACGCTATGTGATAATTGCTTTACATCACCAGATATAAAATAATCTGTGCTAATAGAATTCAGCATGTGGGTAGAAAACATTTACACTTGCAATGCATTATTCTCTAGAGCAGATTAAAAACGGTTTCAGGAATATTATTTACTAAACATTGAATTAAAAACAGAATTGTAAAATTTAGGCAAGTGAGGCTTATTTTGAAAAATGACCCCACTTCACCCTTTTCATAGTTTGTAACTATATTACTTTTTTACTTGACTCCAATCCAGAGTTTAGAGCAGAGATAGGCAAACTTTGGCAGTCCAGATGTTTTGGACTACATTCCCCATAATGCTCTTACACTCGTAATGCTGGCAAAGCATCATGGGAGGTGTAGTCCACAACATCTGGAGTGCCGAAGGTTGTCTATGCCTGGTTTAGAGAATAAACTCCTATATTTTTATACAAGGAGGGAATTACTTTATGATTAAGGTAAGAGCCTGTTTGCTTGAAAAAAAAATCATGTGATGTCCCAGTGTCTTTCTGTGTTAACATTCTAGAAAGTAGGTGGAACAACACTTAACAAAGCGTCTTATAAAACACATCTATGGAACAGAACCAGGTTTTGTGCAGAGAGTACAATCCATACCAGAAATCAGACGTTTGGTAAGCTCACTGTCTTTATTGATACTTTCAATTACTTCCTTCTCTTCCCTTTTCTTAGACTGCGCTTGGCACGTATGAACGAAGAGATGCGCGAATCTGAAGGAGCTTACGGACAGTCAGGTCAATATTCTACTAACAGCCATACGGAAATGCAATATAAAAAATGCATGCAAGAGTTCATCAGCTTGCAGCTTGGAGACTCCGAGTTTGTTGAGAAATAAGTGGTGAATTAAACAAGTAGAGTCCTGCATAAAATAAAAAAAATGATTATTAAATATTAGTATGGGACTTTACACGTGCAGACGGTCAGGCTGTTTCTCATTCTTCTGCACAAAGACAAATTTGTATTGGCCGAAGTCTCCACCCTGCTAAACCTTTGTCTTGGCTGCTTTCTAATAGGTAGTCTTTAACCCCTTAAGGACACATGACATGAAGTTTGGTCCTTAAGGGTTTAAACCACCCATAAATTAACTTTTGCAGTTTTTGGGCAATACATCTGTGTCATTGATGTGCCAGGGACACCTTAATGTTTGAGTGTTTGTGTGTGTGTGTGGGAGGGGAGGGGGGAATAATGGCACAGAATATAAACCCATACATTCAATATGTGTATAAATATTCTATTTTGATAGTAATATATTTAATTAGATCGATTTCTGAATGAACCATGGTGATCATATTTATTTCTTGGCAAATAGAATGAAATATATTCTGAACACACTGAAAACAGATACCAAAGCCATTAGGAAACAAAAATCAATGCAAATTTAAATGTTGCAATATGCCAAAAACTCCCTTTATTAATTGAGCAATCAGGTTTCTTTTCTCTCTTATTATTGTGATTTAGAAGACTGTAGAAAGAACAAAACTATTTATTAATAGCATTATATTAGTGAGTGATGTAATGTGGTTGCTAGCAGCTTTTCTTTGACATGTAATTGGCACTTTCTTTCTTTTGTAAAGGTCTTGGATACTTGCATAAAAGTCACATTTTGGTAGTACGATTTGTTCTGAATGTAGAAGAAAAGTGTTCGTCCCTTTTATTATTTGAGAACTTGGCCTTTTGTATTGCTCTCCTGCCTGCACTGATTTTGTTCTTTGATGTAATGCGTGCCTTGATTATATTTGGTTCTCAGAATTGAATGCCATACCATAGCAATAGACAGTGGTATTGCATTTTTAGCTATTGTATTATTCTACAAATGCTTGTGCTGCGTGTAGAATGCAGTGATGCAAGGTAGTAGCTATGTCTATTCACTAATAGTGACTTGGCAAATGAGCTGCACAATGTATGCCAAAACAGTTTTATCTGCTTTAGCTGTTATTCACCAAACAGGGAATTGTGAAGAATTGCCAGGGAAATTCTACATTTTTTTAGGTCCAAATAGCCAAAACTAGAATATGAGTTGACAAATATTTCCATTTGAGCTATTTTGCCGAAAATGTACAATTATCCCAAATTTCCATGTTCAAAGAATAACGTCTTTGTTATCTTGATCTAAATTTTGCAACATGTAAGTCTACTCACAGTTCAGTGAATTATCCCCATGTCTGTCTACATGAACCCCAAGCCAATGCACATAATAGGGTCCTTGGGGTAACTTTTGTGTTTATGCAATGAGACCTGAAATGTCTGTATTGTTCCGTGCCCCAAGACTGGAATCTGGGAAACGCTGCCATATGTATTATGGTGCCTGGCACAACCACGAGATAGTCTTTTTTTATTGTTCCTGTGTTTTTGTTTTTGTTGCTTTTGCTATTTTTATGTTTTACTACTCAAATTCCAGGAAACACGTTCTGGTTTGTTGCGGTTTAGTGCCTTATATATTTTTCTTAACGTATAGCTGATATTTTATATAATTTTGGAAACTGTATTTAATGTAGGTCAGAAGTCTATTTATATTTTATGATAATCTTTATGGACGTTACCATATACATAGCAGATATTTTGGTGTACATTATATTGGGTTTAAATCTTTCTGCTAGAAGGAAGTCTTTAGAAATTGGCATTTGTTGGCTTACATATACACCTCCCCATGATTTTATTATAGGACGTCATACTGATGTAAAAGGTTAGCTTTCTAGTGTTCATTCACATCAGGGTTTTATGTGTTTTTAAAAAATATTTATTTTGTATTTCTTTCTTTATGTAGTACAGTTTATCACTTGCAAGTACATTCTGGTTCAGTGATAAATGCAGCTTACATACACCAGTAAATACTTTAAGTTAATAGCCTAGTTTCTATTCATAACGTGCTACACTGGACACCAGACCCAAGTTAATTATAAAGCTTCTACAATTTTTGACATAAAATATGGCTCAATTGCCAGAGGGAACTAATGCCAGAGTATAAGGAAAATAGTAGAGCCCATGCAGAACAGCTTGAACTTAAAATATCTCCAGCTAGCTTTCCCCTTAAACTGATACACATCATGTTTGCTTGTCATCTTTGTGTTGTATTTGCAAAATATGTAGAGATCCCAAAAGTGACAGAGCCACCTTAAATACAGAAAAAGGAACAAAATTATGGGAAGATTTGTTATCCCGTGCTCCTTTACCTTTGTTTGCCAACACCCACCTACATATCCCTGCCAGTCCAGGACTTGGGGATTACATAGTTGTGTCTAAGGTGTGTTTGGGGGGGAAACAAAAAAACAAAACCCCTACTCACAACTGGGTTATCCAGAAATCCTGGACTGATAGGATGGGTGTGTGAGGAAAGGTTTGAAAACCACTGGTCTAGAACAAAGCTGCATTGATATTCTTGGTACATGTGTCTTCTGCATTAACCTTCCCTACACTTCCTGGGAGGGGGGGTGAATCTTTAAAGCCTCCAAGCAGCATGATCCTTTCCAATATGATTTGGATTGCAAACCTAGAGAAATTGTTTTTTTTCTGTATTATCTCACTACTGAATACAGTATTTATACGTATATTTTTCTCCTGCATTCTGTATTTTAAAAAATAATCCTGTAACTCCTTTACTATTGGTTTAAGTTTTGTTCAGCCTCCTAGCCATAAACTTTTCTTTCTGTTGTTTTAACTACACAAGTTGTTTATATTTTAAAATATTAGATACTCTGCTTTTCTCTTTCTTTCCATCTGTCTGGATGTGAGAAATCATATAACAGGTATAGCTTGTTTCATTATATCTGCATGCAAATGTCCTCTTTGAGCCACATCTCATCATAACTGATGATACTATTTGTCATTCAAGTGTCAAACCTTGTTTAATACACATTTGTACAATACTTTGTCGAGGAAGCAAGGCACACTGTCCGTCATAGAATAATTTGTACATTGTTTTCATCATTTACTTTTAACTGCATAATAATTCCACATTGTTGAATATGTTCAGATGTTTAATTTATTATTGATTTTTGTAATTTATTTTTTTAAATTTATTTTCTTTTTCATCCTGCAGGTGATGAAACCTACCAAGACATATTTAGAGATTTTTCCCATATGGCATCAAACAACCCGGAAAAATTGAATCGTTTCCAGCAGTCAGATTCTCCCAAATCTTGAAAATATTTTTTACCTTTCAGAATGGGTTATTAAAATTAAGTGGAAGGTGCCCAAATCTGCTTTAACATGTAAACCAGGGCAGGAATGGCTTATGGTAACAGGACCTTTACCCTCATGGCCTATATGATATAAATAGAATGTGCCATTGTATGATTGAATAGAATTGGGTAAAGCGCCAGTTGCTCTAGAAACATTTTTAGTGTTAAGCAGCTGATGTGACACAGACCTTAGGTTTTCTCATCAGTTTATTTTTTGCTTTGTTTTCCCACCATTACTGTCCCCATCTCTCCTCAAGCAAAGAAGGAGACTCCATATAGAATCCAATGAGAATTAGTTGTCCCCCTGTCAAAAAGAAGCATTACGGTCCCCAAAAGTCTAACCACTTAGAATTTCAAACTTGATGAGCTACAGCGTAAAGGATGCTGTGTGCGTTTTTATGTGTTAATAGCAACCAATGGATCATGGGCTTCCTATTGTTCGGTATTGTCTTTAGATTACCCTTGCAGTGTTTCAGATTAACTGCTTCCTATTCAGCTAATACTGGTTGCGAACTGTGATAGTATGAGGTTTTGACTCATTCCACCTATCCCTAATGTAAACACGTTTGATCTGTCACTTGGGTAAGCCTGTATGTATTAATCACACTAAGCAGCCTATGTTTGTTTTATTGTTGTGTCATTATTTTATTTCTTCATTATAACAAGAATATGGTCATGGATACATTTTAATTGTATGTAATTACTTCGCTGCCTTTATGTTAAAATATCTCTGTGGCACGTCTTTCTGTCTCCGTAGAATAAAGAGTGCCCTTCAGTTAGTATTGATACATAACACACACTAAATTTGTATGTTAAACGGAAAGCAAACTATAATTCCTTTTGCACACTACCTGTATTGACAATCTTTATTTGCTATTCCACAGACACTTGCAATGTGTTCATTCATTTCTGAAACTGGTTAAGTCTAGCTCAGTGATTCCCAACCCCGTCCTCAAGGCACATTCCAGCATTTAAGTGTTTCCTAATTCTACCGCTATGCGAATATTGACAAAACCTGTTCCATTGGTATACCTGGAGAACTGAGTTGGGAAACACTAGTCTAACTTGCTATAGGTCCAAGGTAGGGAGCTTGTGCCTTGAAGGGTTATGGGTTTGTAGTTCTGCAACTGCTGTCAAAGCACACGCTGCCTGTCCTAGGTCTACCAATTACCTATATTGTTATAGAGTTGTTATAGTTGTTTAATCAGTTGATGTTTTGCTGTCCTCTTTGATACAAAAATCTCAATATTTTCCCATGCACCTGACCTTAACATGAATGTAAAATCTCTTTAACAGATCCTGTCATGAAGTGAATAGTGTTAAGACAGGATTCTTGTAAACCTTATATAAGGATATTTAGTAAATACATAGTTTAGCAAATGTGTTCTTTTTTTGTATTTTAGAGATAGCAGAAAATAGTTATATCGTTAAAATATGTATATGTCCCTTTTGATTATTGTGATTAGTAGAGAACATTTTGTTAGTTGTTGGCAATGATTTGAAAAGCACAAGTAATGTAAATATTTATATAAAGTTTAATTCTGTGCCATAAAACAAAATTTTGTAAGAATCAATTGGCTTACAACTTGGCATTACTTAATAACCTTTAGGTCCTATTAAAGGAACATTCTTAATAGTCCCGTTAGTAGCGGTCAGTCTGACAGTTACTAGAAATACATTGTCTGATAAATGTAAACATTGCCATTACTCAGAATTTGGAATGTTTTACATTGTTAGTAAAGAGGGACGCCAGCTATGCACCACCAAAACCACTACGTTAAGATGCAGAGGTTTGAGTACTTGGCACCCCTCTAATGGGAAAAAAACTAAACAAAATGTGCAGTGTTTAGCTCTGGTCACTGCCTGAATACGTGTTTGCTGAGTAATCATTTTAGAAAGAAACATGGCGCAGCATACTGGCCATCTATGGCTGTAAATACGCCACCATTCCAATTTTTAACAAGAGGATACAATTGCCTATTGTATATATCCCTCCAGGTGTACTCTTTACATAAGAAGTGGTAGCACGGTCAATATGGGAGAACATTTTACATTCCTTGTCATTTCACAAACAGGTTTTTTAGGCAGTTGATCTGTAATTGACCTCCCTTAATGACCAATAATGTGCTGTTATTACAATGTGTTCTTTAAGGATACTATTCCAATCTGTACTGTTCCATGCAAGGGCAGTCAAAGCTGAACAAGCAGGATAATCCGTTAACCATTCCTTATTTCTCCACTCCACAGTGGATGAAGTGGTGCAGCGCTTATAGCTAAAACACACCTTTATCTCTGCGACAATTCTGAGTCCAGGAGGACGCCTGTGCCCCTTGAATTTGGCAGGCTAATTTGCATCTGATTTGGGCACCTGACTTGAAAAATATCATACAAGCATATGCATGCTTAGGTATTGCTTCCAAAGTGCCATGTGCATACATGGGCCCTCAGGAAGCCTACAGACACCATTCGGTTAAAATAATATTTAATGCTCTAGCTAGCAGGACAATCTGGCATGGGATACAGAAAATAAAACACAAACCAAACACCATTGACTATTAAAAGCACAAAGTCACAATCCACAAAATAAAAAGGTTAACATGTAAAGTATTCACAGACCATATTGTAATGATGTTGGCAGTGTAACATTTGGCCCTTAAGGGAAGATTTATCAATGTTTTATGATAATAAAAAGTTGTACAAATATGTAAATGTTGTCAATCACCATTGGAATGTTTATGCAAATCCCATTGGTTTCAATGATGATTGCCCCACTATAAGAACTTTGCATTGCTTTTTAGATCACAACAATTTGATAAATCTGCCTTTATTTATTTTGCACAAAAGTTATCATTTGTTACTGGCAAGATGCTGAAATTAGTACACACAAATCGTTAAATCTTTTGTACATCAAATTATTAAATATCATACTTGTCGATGTCAAAGCATGAGCCGCCTGTTTGTTGGCAGAACACCACGTCTTCTGACATTTCTACATTGTGTGCTGCTTTTGCATTACATCATAGCCCAAGCATATGTGCGTATTCTGCAATATTCGCATGAAGGAGCAATGTCTGCTCCTCCCATAGCGCTGTTAATTGGACAACTTTTTTTGTTTTTCTCCTCCCAAGTTACTATGTTTGTAATTAAATAAGTGCACTGGGAATTAATGTTAGTGCACTTCAATATATCCTGTCACCAAAACTGTATATTCTTTACTGCCAGAGAATAAGCTTATAGTGAATGTCAACTATATCTACTTTTATTGTAATCATTTTAAATCAAACTTGAATGCCTTTATATTTTCTTTTTCATCTTAAAAGAACACTTATTCGCTCCAAATTGTACATTGTGTAAGAAATGTAAATAAATACTTGATTAAATTTCAATTTGTACAACACAAAGTGGAAAAATATGCAATTTCAATAAAAAAAAGTTAAATAATGCATTGTTTTACCCTGCCTCTTGTGGATTTTTTTTTTTTTTTACAATCTTTATTTTTATTTTCATGTTTTTTTTTACTTATTACAATGGTAAGTTCATGACATACATATATTATATACATACCCAGTCACTCGCAGGTGGTACATGAAGTTAATAAAGTTGAAGCGTTAAGACAATAATGGTTAAGAAGCAGGCCCATTCCTCTCCGCTATCCTAACAACAGTCATCTACAAGATATACTTAGAATGGGTACTTGTAACCATAGACGTTTCACTGCTTGTGTCTTTGAGTATCAAGAATTACAGCAGAGGTGCTGGTGTTGGCTCAATACATGTATATACGCTCATGTTCTGAAAGGACCACTACAGGAACCCAGACCACTTCAGCTCAATAAAGTGGTCTGAGTGCCAGGTCCATCTAGGGCTAACCCTGCCTGCTGTAAACATAGCAGTTTCAGAGAAACTGCTATGTTTACATTAGGGTTAATCACAGTGAGAAGAAGCTGGACGTCCATAGGATTGAGACTGCTTTCCTATGGACTGACTGCGTGTGCGGCTCTTGCCGTGCATGCGCTTTTGGCGGAAGAGGGAGGAGAGTCCCCGGCGCTGGAGGAAGGTAAGCCTTTAACCCCTTCCTACCCCTAGAGCCCGGCAGTGGGGGGGGTGAGGACGACGACGACTTATTAACACTATAGTGCCAGGAAAAGAGTTTGTTTTCCTGGCACTATAGTGGTCCTTTAAAAAAGAAAAGATGTAAGTTAAAGGGAAAAAAAAGGATGGGTGGGAAGAACCCAAACCTCTCCCATGCAGGAGCGCGAAACACTCTGCTCCCTCACCAGCTCTTAGGTGAGTGGAGGGCCCAGTCTGTTTTCTCTATTTGTGTTACTCAGCAGGAGTCTCCCTTGAGATGAAATTGCTCCATGGGAACCAAGTCAGGGCGCACTTGGTGGGGTTGCCATTGAAGTCTGCCGTCAGTTCCATATTTCCTCTACTCTGTTGGCCCACTGTCTGATGGATGGCGCACCCTTCTGTTTCCAGAAAGTTGGGATCGGGGATTTAAAAAAAAAAAAAAATTACGTTTATTACAGGCCTTGTTATATTGCCATAGGAGAAAAATGCAGCATCTACAAAAACGAATGTATAATAAAACAATGTAATATTTGGAATGATACACAAGGCTTTGAATTAAACTTAACCTCCGGTACTGTCATTAAGACATCAAGATAGCTGGATTATGCCATTTCTGTAAAGTTTTATATGCACAGAGGGGCATTCTTTGGTTGAAAGCGCTCAAGTAATCCAATGTCATTTAGTCGCCACTACTAGAGACTTGGCGTCACGTAAGAGGGCGAACTGTTGCAAAACTGTTTGCCTGTTACCAGGGAATGGAGGCAGGGGACTCCCACTGTAGTGCTTAGATGTTATGACGCCTGGATTAACCCTTAAAGCAGCATTTTTGTGATTTACAGAAAAGTATTATTCACTAAAGTGAGAATTCAAATGTAAGGTCAAAATAGCCAAACTGGGAAAAAATTCCAAGTCAGCTATGCTTTCATTTGAGCTACTCTGACATTAAACCTGAAATGTACTTAGAATTTTCACTTTAGTAAATAACCCTGTGCATGATTTTCCCAGAGAATATATCTGTTCATAGGCGTTAAGGACAAAGTGAGTTATCTTTAGCAAGAGAAAGGTCACATTACTAGAGCTGAACTGGATAATTTTTTGATAATAATCCAGTGTCATTCAGAATTGGAATCATAACTGAGAATTTTCAACACAAAATGTCACAAATATGTGTATGGGTTTTTTGTTTTTGTTTGTTTTTGGGGTTGATGTTTGAAATCATTGCTGACTTTAAACTGTGGCTAACTTCAGCAGTTATTTTTGAAGGGATTCCATAGTTTGAGGAAAACAAAGCTGTTTTCCTGGCACTGTAGAATCCTGCAGTGCCCCCCCTCCCTCGCGGCTGAATCCAGCGCCAATGTCCCTCGGCGCTGGGTCAGGCTCTGCCCACGCTCATCACCCGCTGACATCAACCGCCGGCGGAGACCTAATGCACATGCATGGCATTGATTTCCCCACAGGAAAGAATTCTTGAATGCTTTTCTTATGGGGAAAAATCTGATGCTGTAGGTCCTCATGCAGAGCGTCCAATGTCCGATAACGGACCTAATGTCCGTTTCAATTCTGGAAGTCCCTCTAGTGGCTGTCTGGTAGAGGAGTTAACCCTCGAAACTGCAATAATTACCACTGTAGAATTATGGGACATTGCACCCAGACCACTTCAATTATTATTATTTTATTATTTATATAACGCCATCAGATTCCGTAGCACTGTACAATGGGTGGACTAACAGACATGTAATTGTAACCAAACAACTGGACAGGAACAGAGGGGTGGAGGGGCCTGCTCCATGAGATTACATTCTAGACGGAGTGGGGTATAGTGACACAAAGGGTAAAAGTAGGGGTAAGAAGTATTAATTGAGGGCTTAGTAGGTAATTTTTGACAGTTGCAGGAGAGGAGTCATGGAGGGTGGGGGATTAAAACCCACTAACAGTTTAATTGAAATGCTTTCTTGAAGTGAGTTTTCAATGATTTTTTGAATAATTGGACACTGGGTGAAGTTCTTACAGAGAAGGGAAGGGAGTTCCACAGAAGAGATGTAGCCCTGGAAAAGTCTTGAAGGCGAGCGTTAGAGGTAAGAGTACGGACAGAGGATATACGTAGGTCTTTGGCTGAGGGTAGGGGCCTCGACGGGACATACTTGTGTATTAGGGAGGATAGGTAGGTTGGAGCTGAAGTGTTCTGGGTGCCTACAGTGTCCCTTTTAACCCCTTAAGATCGGAGGGCGTACTATTACGCCCTATTTTAGGCGGCTCTAAGCACCACCGGGCGTAATAGTACGCCCTCCGGTCTTTCCTTACTTACCCGGTCGCCGGCGATCATGGTTGGGGGGACTCCCAGGGAGCCCCCCCACAGCAGATCTTCCTCCTGCAGCCCCCCCGGCCATGTAAGAGTGAGATCCTTGCGATGACCTCACAATCACATGGCCGGGATAGCTGGCTGCAGCATTGCCAGCAGGGGGGCTGCCTGTAATGACAGGTGGTCCCCCTGCTGGCTGAAAATAAAACCAAATAAATTAAAAAGTGTAAAAAAAAAATAAATAATATATACTTAGATCATATATATATTATATTAAAATGTATTACAACGATGATATCGCCAGTAAAAGTGATTTTTTTTTTGTTGCATTTTTCACACACAAACAGCACTTACACAGACGATATTATTGCTGCGATACTTTTTACTGTTTTGAAACACAAATATTTGTGTTCATCGAAGTCTCCCGAGTACAACAGTACCCCTCATGTACAGGTTTTATGTTGTTTTCAAAAGTTACAGCGTCAAATATAAGGCTTGTGTTTCATTTTTTTCACATTAAAATTTGCCAGATTGGGTACCGTTGCCTTTGAGACCCTACGGTAGCCCAAGAATGAAAATTACCCCTATGATGGCATACCATTTGCAATAGTAGACAACACAAAGTATTGCAAACTGGGTATGTCCAGTCTTTTTTAGTATCCACTTAGTCACAAAAACTACGCGGGGCGTAAATGTGTTAATGTGAGTGTGTGTGTGTGTTTGTTAGTGTGTATGTGTGTGCCTGACTATGTGAGTGTGTCTGCTAGTGAGTTAGTGTGTGTTTGACTGTGTGTGTCTGTTAGTGTGTGTGTCTTTTAGTGTGTGTGTCTGACAGTTTGTGTCTGTTAGTGTGTGTGTGTCTGTGTGTCTTAGTGTGTGTGTCTGTTAGTGTGTGTGTGTCTGACAGTTTGTGTCTGTTAGTCTGTGTGTGTGTGTGTGTGTGTTTGTTAGTGAGTGTGTGTGTCTGACTATGTGAGTGTGTCTGCTAGTGAGTTTGTGTGTCAGTGTGTGTGTCTGACAGTTTGTGTCTGTTAGTGTGTATGTGTGTGTCTGTTAGTGTGTGTCTGTGTGTCTGACTGTGTGTGTCTGACAGTTTGTGTCTCTTAGTGTGTGTGTGTGTCTGTTATAGTGAGTGTGTGTGTGTTAGTGTGTGTGTGTGTCTGTTAGCGTTTGTATGCGTATCTGTCAGTGAATGTGTGTGTGTGTATTTAGAAGGCGGGGCGTTAATGAGTTAATGTGAGTGTGTGTGTCTGTTAATGTGTGTGTGTCTGTTAGTGAGTGTGTGTGTGTCCGTTAGTGAGTGTGTGTGTGTCTGTTAGTGTGTGTATGTGTATCTGTCAGTGAATGTGTGTATTTAGAAGCCGGGGCGTTAATGTGAGTGTGTGTGTGTCTGTTAATGTGTGTGTGTTAGTGTGTATGTGTGTGTGTCTGACTATGTGAGTATGTCTGTTAGTGTGTCTGTTAGTGTGTGTATGTGTGTGTCTGACTGTGTGTGTCTGTTAGTGTGTGTGTGTCTGACAGTTTGTCTGTTAGTGTGTGTGTGTGTCTGACAGTTTGTCTGTTAGTGTGTATGTGTTTGACTGTGTGTATGTGTGTGTCTGACTGTGTGTGTCTGACTGTGTCTGTTAGTGTGTGTGTCTGACTGTGTGTATGTGTGTGTCTGACTGTGTGTGTGTCTGTTAGTGTGTGTGTGTGTGTGTGCAGGGGCGTTTTAGCTGCGAGGCAAACAAGGCATTTGCCTTGGGCAGCATTTTTCAGGGCAAAATACGCTGCCCCCAAATGCTCAGGGCAAATGCCTTGCAGCTAACAGACATGCCGGGCGGGCGGCGCCTGGCGGGCGGCTGGCGAGGGAGCTCTTCCTCTGAGCGGTCTGCTCAGCTCCCTCGCGCGCCGCAGAGTGAGGCTGGGAGCCGGAATATGAAGCCATCTTCCAGCTCCCAGCCTCACTCTGAGGCGCGCGAGGTAGCTGAGCGGACAGCTCAGAGGAAGTGCTCCCTCGCCAGCCGCCCAGCCCAGCGCTGCCCGCAGCCACTGGACCACCAGGGAGATAGAGAACCCCCCCCCCCACAGCATTACCAAAGGTAAGGAGGGGGGGGTAAATTTAAAAAAAAAAATGTGTGTGTGTGTTTGTTAGTGTGTGTGTCTGACTATGTGAGTGTGTCTGTTAGTGTGTGTCGGACTGTGTGTGTCTGTTAGTGTGTATGTGTGTGTCTGACTGTGTCTGACAGTTTGTGTCTGTTAGTGTGTGTGTGTGTCTGTTAGTGTGTGTCTGTTAGTGTGTGTCTCTGACTGTGTGTCTGTTAGTGTGTGTGTGTCTGACAGTTTGTTAGTGTGTGTATGTGTGTCTGTGTGTGTGTCTGTTAGTGTGTTAGTGTGTGTGTCAGTGTGTGTCAGAGTGAGTGTGTGTGTGTCAGCGTGTGTATGCGTATCTGTCAGTGAATGTGTGTGTGTGTATTTAGAAGGCGGGGTGTTAATGTGAGTGTGTGTGTGTCTGTTAATGTGTGTGTTTGTTAGTGTGTGTGTATGAGTGTGTCTGCTAGTGAGTTAGTATGTGTCTGACTGTGTGTGTCTGTCAGTGTGTGTGTGTGTGTGTCTGACTGTGTGTCTGAGTGTGTGTGTGTGTGACAGTTTGTGTCTGTTAGTGTGTGTCTGACTGTGTGTGTGTGTCTGACTGTGTGTGTGTGTCTGACAGTTTGTTTGTGTGTGTGTATGTGTGTTTGTTAGTGTGTGTCTGACAGTTTGTGTCTGCTAGTGTGTATGTGTGTGTCTGACTGTGTATGTGTGTGTCTGAGTGTGTGTGTGTGTGTCTGTTAGTATGTGTGTGTGTGTCTGACAGTTTGTGTCTGTTAGTGTGTGTGTGTCTGTTAGTGTGTGTGTCTGTGTCTGTTAGTGTGTGTGTGTCTGTGTCTTTTAGTGTGTGTCTGTCAGTGTGTGTGTGTCAGAGTGTGTGTGTGTCTGACAGTTTGTGTCTGTTAGTGTGTGTATGTGTGTGTCTGACTGTGTGTCTGTTAGTGTGTGTGTCTGTTAGTGTGTGTGTGTCTGACAGTTTGAATGTGTGTGTGTATTTAGAAGGCGGGGCGGGGGGAAGGGTTTCCCGACCGTTTTTTCTGGCTTCCCATTCCCCCTCTTGGTTTCTCCACTCGCACGGGTACAGCTGCCGATCGCGGTCCTGGCGGTCCACGGTAACCGCGGTCGCGGCGCCCACACATGCGCACAACGCAAGTGCGCATCGCAGCGGCCATCTTGGGATTGGCAGGTTTGCCGCGCTTTTGCTAGCGCGGCCAATACTGCTCGTTTGGGGGCGGGAGTTACTCCCTGTTCCTGGGCAAACTCTCCCTGTGTTCCCCAGGAGCATTTGTTTCTTCCATTGTATATCTGTTGTGCTTTGCCCCACATTGGTGTCTGGTGCCTGCTAGTGTATTTACCATTACTGTAGTTGGGAGTTAGTCATTCTATCAGTTTGCTTAGGGGGTATAATTCTCAGCCTTGCCTGTATTTACTGCCCGTCCATCCCAAACATGCAGGCTGAGCACAGTGCTTATAGTGCCACTACATCTAGAGCCACCATAACCACCCCTCCCTTACAGGGCCCCAAAATGCCCACAGCGTTGGAAACAGCGCAGGAGCATATGGACTTGCATTCCCTCTTAGACGCGGCTATGGCGAAGTCTGTGACACAGGCCATATTTACCACCATGGGTGCCATGTCAGATCATTTATCCCATTCCATAACCACTGCGATGAGAGCCACGCAACTACCAACTAACCCCGGGCTAACCCCCCAGAAAATAAGCCGGTGGCCCCTAGTGGGCGTAAGGCCGCTAAAAAGTCTCGTCATTTGGACGATTATGCTTCCAAAACCCTACAGACGGACAGGGCACGTCCTGTCACAGAACCTGTGGTTGGACCACAACTAAGAGCCCCCCACCGGGCAAAATCGGTGAGGCTAAGGCCCTACTGGAATCCTCCAACTCTGAATCGGAGCTAGAGGAGGCTCAGAGCGAGTCCGAGGAGGAGGACTCTGATGATTATAATGAGGACTCTAATGATAATCACTTGCGGGACTATAGCTCCGTCGCGGGCACGGACATGGACCATAAGAACGGAGCTGATGACTCCGCCTTAGTTGACCCTCAGGGCGAACCATTGTTCGACCCGGATACCCTACAGCACTCAAGGTCCTCCAAGTGGTACCCTCTGGACCACATAGCGAAATATATCGCTGCCCGCATCAGAAAGAGTGCCCACGCCCCACGGTCCCGGATATGGCATGCGCCACCCCAGAAGTGGACCCAAATATCGCCCAATTTTTGGGAAAATCAGGCTGGAAGGCCAAGAAGGGCCTGGATTTTGCCTGGCGGAATTGCCAGGATAAGGTATTGGACATCCTTGGACTGATCACGAAGATGTTTGATATGGTCGAAATCGCGTTGGCAGGGGGTGCACCGCTGGACCTGGAAGCCCTCAGGGGGTGGATCCAGCGTGCCGTGTGTCTCCTGGGCAATGCAAATACGGCGGTGGCCACGGAAAGACGCAAGTCGATTTTAATTAAAATTGAGCCTAAACTAGTAAACCTGGCTACCTCAGAATCAGGTCCCCAGGCTAAAGCCCACCTATTCGGGGATAACTTTGTGAAAGAACTAGGCACATATGTGGGCACCTTTACGGCACTTGATAAGGCTCAAGCCAGCATGAAGCTAGTGTTCCATCAGAGGGTTTTTGGCGGGGCCGGCAGATATTGGGGCCGTCTGCCCGTCCGCTCGCCCCGGGGCTCATACCGGGGCTCTCGTGGCTCCGTGCAACCTAGATCCACACCCCCGGAACCCAAACAAGCCTCACCATTCTTCCCGGTTCGAGGCAGACCGTGGCAAACACGAGGACCCAGAGGCTCTTCATATGGCCGACGACCTTATGGTAAGTGCACTACCTCCTCATATGTCTACATTAACTATGGTGGGGGCAGACTGGGCCATTTTGTCAAAGCATGGCACATGATCACTGCAGATGCCTGGGTGCTCCACACGGTCCGGGTTTATTCTATAGACTTCGTGCAATACCCGGTCCAACTGGAACCCCCCGGCCGAATGGTGTTCCCCACTCGGGACCGGGAGTTGATAACCCAAGAGGTCCAGGCCTTAGCCTCCAAGGGGGCAATTTATACTGTTCCCCCTGTCACACCGGGTTTCCTAAGCAACCTATTCTTAGTACCCAAAAAAGGCGGGGGTGTTCGCCTAGTCATCAACTTGGGACCTTTAAACATGTTTGTCACATACCACCACTTCAAGATGGAAGGTATACACTCCCTCCGGGACTTCCTCCTCACAGGGGACTGGATGGTCAGACTCGATTTGAAGGACGCATACCTCACGGTCCCAATGGCCGACGACTGCCACCACTTCCTGCAATTCTGCTGGGAAGAGACCATGTGGCGATTCCAATGCCTACTATTCGGCCTCTCATCAGCCCCCTGGTGCTTCACAAAGTTAATGAAACCAGTGGTCGCCCTCCTATGCAGCAGGGGCGTACGGCTCATAATATACCTGGACGATATCCTCATCATGGCTCAGGACCCGCTTCTGTTGCAAGAACATTTCTCTTGGACGAGAAATCTGTTAGAAAACCTGGGCTTTCTGATCAACTGGGAGAAGTCGGTCATCGAACCCTCGCAAGCTATAGAGTTCCTGGGATTCACCATAGACGCGGTGACAGGAACGCTCCTACTCCCAACGACCAAGGTCAAGGCCATCAAAAAGGAGCTCAGGCAGACGCTCACACGTCCTGTCCTTACTTTGAGGCAGCTGGCCAGGATTGTAGGCCTCCTCTCGGCGTCAATACAGGCCATTTTCCCCGGACCCCTACATTACAGAGCACTTCAACGGTTAAAGGCAAAATACCTTCGTTTGGGGCACTCATACTCAGACTCTGTTCCTCTCGACTGTGCCGCCAAGGATTAAATCAAATGGTGGCTACAACACATGGAAGCCTGGAATGGCCGCGCGATCTTCGGAACAGCACCGGACCTCGGAATGGAATCCGATGCAAGTTTGCTCGGTTGGGGTGCGCGCTGCGGACCTTTCTCCACCGGAGGAAGATGGTCCAGGGAGGAACAGGGACTTCATATCAATTGCCTCGAACTGTTGGCAGGTTCGTTTGCTTTACGGAGTCTTTTGAACGTGTCGACCAACTGTTCCATCCTGTTACGCATGGACAACGTTTCAGCGGTTCGATATATCAACCATGGGCATGAGGTCAGCAATACTTGCGGAATTAGCATAGGATTTCTGGCAGTTCTGCCTGGACCGCAACATAGTGCAAGCGGAACACATCCCGGGGATGAGCAATGTAGTAGCAGATTGGAACTCCAGACATCTACAGGATGCCAGCAACTGGCGGCTGAACCCGGCCATCTTCAGCCATTTGCAATCACTGTGGGGGCTGCTGGACATCGACCTGTTCGCGTCACGGCTAAACACGCAATTACCGAGGTTTTTCAGTTGGAGGTCGGATGCGCAGGCTCTAGCGACGGACGCTTTCCGACAACAGTGGCCGAACACCAGACATTACGCTTTTCCCCCCTTTTCTCTCATCGCACGGACCTTGCTGCACCTCAGACGACACCGGACATCTCTAATCCTCGTATCTCCCTTCTGGGCGTCTCAGCCCTGGTTCCCTACACTCCTGGAACTGTCCATAGACCTGCCGAGGTTACTGCCGGTACACAACAACATCCTCCTGGATCCCTATGGCAATCCGCACCCTCTCATACTGCAGGGACATCTCAAGCTTTTTTGGCTCCTTTCAGGGGACTCGATGACACCCCAAATGTTCCACAAACGACTCTGGACCTCCTGGCAGGAGCTTGGGCCCCGGGTACAAGGAAATCATATTTACATGTCTGGAACGCATGGTATGGTTGGTGCGTGGAACAACACGTGGATCCCATATCTGCAACTTTGAGTCAAGTCTTGGGTTTCCTTACTTCACTTTTCGACCACAGCCTGGCGTATCGTACAATTAATCTATATAGATCAGCTATCTCGGCAGGCCACGTAGGTTGGAATGGAATTCAAACAGGGAAACATCCGATGGTGTGTAGACTCCTACAAGGCATAAAATTTGCACGACCACCACGACCTCGGTATTCGGAGGTATGGGATGTGAACCTCGTTCTCCGACTTTTTGAAAGTTGGCCAAAGAACGAAGATTTGTCGATCAAGCAACTCACCGCAAAATTGGTCACGTTGTTTTGCCTCATCTCCTGTAAATGGGTCTCAGATGTACGAGCATTGGACATTCAGGCACGCTCATGTACACCGGAAGGGGTGGCCTTTGATATATCGAGACGTACAAAAACGTCCATCACGAAGGTTTTTTATCCCGCTTTTCCACATAACAGTAATTTATGCCCAGTAGCCTGCCTCAAAGAGTATGAAGCACGGACGGCGGCGGTCCGAGATCCTCAACGTGCGGACCTATTCCTGGCCGTTCGACAACCGCATCGTCCGGTTTCTACAGTCACCCTATCTCGCTGGGTCAAATGTATCATGACGTCAGCAGGCATTGATACTTCCACATACGGAGCACATTCAGTGAGGGGTGCGATGGCATCAAAAGCGTTTTCATTAGGCTGCAAATTGGAAGATCTTCTCCGAGCAGCCGATTGGTCGAGAGAATCTACATTCCGTGAATTTTATTTCCGTCCGGTTTCCCATTTTTCCACGTCAGTGATCACACAGCTTTGAACTAGCATAATAGGAGCCTCCGTGTCCTTTAATAAAATTACCAGATTTTACTAATTTCATGACGTAAAGTCATGATTTTATAAAGGACACGGAGGCGAGTATTGCCCGCCTCTGGGAATATAATGTATGTTATGGGACTGGAGCCGTGTGATATTGTGCTATCTTATTGCCATTTGAGTGACTAACATGAGAATGATTTAGTGTTAGATAGGTTTTGGAATATGAACGTGGAAAAATATTATCCAAGAACATATTTTACCATCTCGTTTCTCTGTCTTACAGCTTCCTAATTGGAGTGCCATAATGGTCCAGGCATACCCACAAGTGTGCGGATGGAGGATGACTAGTTTTTCTTCAGGATTTGTTGTTTTTTTTGTCTGACGTCATCTTCTATTGGATTCACTGTTGTTCTCTACACGACTACTGGTTGTTTTTCATTGCCAAGTTTTGGAGTGTACATCAGCAACACCAAAAGAAAGAGGAGTGGCTTAGGGTCACATGGGACTTTGTTGTAATGGGGACACTCTAATTGGTTCATATGTGGTATTTGATTAACCCTTTAGAAGTTATGATGTGGTGTTATTGAATTGTTTTTCTTTTTCATGGAATATATATACAATATTTCTTTTCCTGCTGAGGAATAAAAGAAAGAGGAAAGCATAATACTTGCCTCCGTGTCCTTTATAAAATCATGACTTTATGTCATGAAATTAGTAAAATCTGGTAATTACTCTTCACTTCCTCCCAGCCTACAGAGCAGTGCATGGGAGAGAGTGGAGGAGGCATGATTTAATCTTACAACAAATCCAGTAAGCAAATCTTTATAAATTTGGGTGGATCAGCTCTGTTTTCACAGTTTATTGGGGTTTACTCTGATGTCTGTATTAATATTGAGGGATTTCTAAGTAGTGACATCAGTGTGTGTCAGCAGGGCCAGCCGTTGGGGTGTGCACGCTGTGCGGTCACGCAGGGTGCCATCACAATAGAGGCGCCCCGCTGACAACACAGCTCACAAGTTGGGGACACCTGCCTATTCAGTTTAAACGATTCGCTGGTGGTCCACTGGTGCAGTAGGTGCAGTCAGATTATAGCCTCTCCCTCATGGTTCCGATGCTCAGTTAGTGAGTCAGAGCACAGGCTCAGAGATTCTCAGCCTGCGCTCTGACAACATTGAATGTCAGAGCGGTGAAGGAGCGGGTATGGCAAAGAGCTACTGATTAGCATAACATCAATATCCGTTATAAAACCAGGAAAAGGTGGGCACCATTGCACTGATTTGGTGGTGCAATGGGCCACTTGACTGGTTTTGCCCCCCAGGCCTAAGGCTGCCAGCCCTCCCCTGCATGGACCCCCTACTGTCTGTGGTGTGTCTGCAGTTTATAACAGTATCAGCCATGCCTTTCCTTCATTTTCTCCCACCCCAATAAGCAGTTAAGTGAGTGTTTTGTGGGAAATATATTGGTTTGCTTTTTGTTCAAACAGGGCACCACCAGTTTAAATCTCTGGATAAAGTGAATAAATTTGCTAGGCAGGCATCAGTTCTCACAGACACTTCACAGACACTTCAAAGGCTGCATCAAACAGCCCTCATACCAGGTCACTGATTTATCGCTGAGAGAGATCAAGAGAAAGTTCCTCTCTCGTTTTAGATTTGCAGGGACAGCTAAAAAGCAAAATGAGTGTCAATCATAGTAAAATTAATATACAGGTTCCATAACTTCACTGTGTTTTTCATTTGAATCCTACTACAGGATTACAATTAAATATATAGTTGTGCTGGCCCTGTTGCTTACAATTGTGTGACTAACAAGTTATAGAGCGGTGACAACAGCTGCAGACTTCACAAGCAGTCACATTCTAAGAATGTTTAAAGGACCACTATAGTGCCCTGAGGGTGCCCCCACCCTCAGGGACCCCACCCCGCCTCGCTCTGAGGAGAGGAAAGGGTTAAAACTTACCTTTTTTTTCCAGCGCCGGGTGGGGAGCTCTCCGCCTCCGATCCTCCTCCTCTCCTCCCTTTCGGCTGAATGCGCACGCGCGGCAAGAGCTGCGCGCGCATTCAGCCGGTCTCATAGGAAAGCATTTACAATGCTTTCCTATGGACGCTTGCGTGTTCTTGTGATGGAATTCCAGTAAAATAAAAGTTTAGCAGGCCAAGATTGCCACAAGGCATATGTAGGTACATGTGTTTGTAGTATCAGTTAGTTAGTTACACGTAGCTAAGATACAGTCATCACTGTACTGAGCATGTGCAGGAATGCAGGAACTGGAATTACGCGTCCCTCTCCTTTGTTTCAGATGAGCCACGTGGTTAGACCGGATGGATGAGTTTAGACTCTATTCATTGATTAGGTTAAGGGTATGTGTGGGCGTAGCTAATTATGGGAGGAGCTACAGTGCTATATAAGGAATGTACTCTATGTATTCAGTGCTCAGATCTTTGCTGTTTTTGGTGACATAAGTCCCTCTGAGTCCCGGTCGGTGAATCAAATAAAGATCTCTTCCTTCCTGAAGAAACCTGTGTCCATCTCTCTGTGCTTGGCCTCCGTCAGTTTCCCGGTAACATCTTTGGTGCATTGGCCGGGAAGCTCGTCGTTAACGGTGGCTAGGAAGCAGAGGTGTGAGACGGTCTATCTTTGCCCACGTTCTCTACGGCTGCACCCCTGAACTTCTGCGTGGACCTCCCTTCATCTTGGCGCCACTGGTCTGTTGTCCAGGAGATCATCGGCCTCTACGTAGTAAGTACTGGGGTGTCCCCGTCGATGAGTGTGAACTCAGGTTCAGGAACGAGGAGGTAAGACGACTACTGTTTTAGACGGTGGACCCAATAGGGGTATTGGATACCGATTGTGTGGTAGGCTCATAAGGGGTTTGAATTGGAATTGTGTATGAAATTGGCCCCCTCCAGGGAGGGAAGGAGCAAAGGCGCACCGCTCATAATTAGACGCCCTGTAGTCAGCCCGTCTAATCTTGGTATGGAGTCAGGCTGGGTCTTGGCTGAATGTATATAGCCCAAGCCGGACACCGGTGTCTTGCTAGACTAGCGTATCTAGGGTGTACATTTCGTTCGCTAGGTCGGAGGGACTGGGAGACTAAGCAGACTCTGGTGTACATTATCGTTTGCTAGTTCTCAACCTATCTTGGCTAAGTGGGAAGGCGTGTAAATTTGGAACCCACTAGACTATTGATAGAGTAGATAGACTAAAAGGGTATTGTTGTAAATTCCGCCCTCTAGTTCGCTATATGTGGTGCTTGGGCAGCGACGGCTTACCAAAACGGATGTAAATAGTTTTAGGTAGTCCCTTGAGGTACTGTCCAATAGATTAGTTGGGAAACTGTAAATGTGTTAAAATTTATTATAGTAGAGTGTATATCTTGCTGGGTAGCGTGAGCTCTGCAGTCTAGCGAGAGTGTGAATAGTGTGTAACTGTATCATAGCGCACGGTACCATAACCATGTATTATAATCACTGATACTGTAAATAATCACTAATAACTGTCGTTTATGTTGTATGTTTAACACCATAACTACTATTAACTGACCTGTGACTTTAAAATTGTATTCTAACCAATGCTAACCGTACTATAACTACTGTTTGTAAAGACGATGTTACTAGGGTGTGTTATAGACGGGTAATTTAAATACTGAGAATTATAGCGTGGGTAATTGTATAATTTCGCCAAAAAAGGTACAGTAATAGTTATTTAGTGTGTGGTGTAACAGCTGTGTGTGTACGGGAATTCCCTGTATGATTTGTTGTGTGCGTTTGGCCTAGTAACTGTGCCACGTGGTGCTGTTGCCAAGGGAAACGGGTGTGACTGTTGGAAGTGTGTTTTGTTTTGTTTCTATTGGAGACGACGCTCCATTGTTAAGTATGGGTGCGTTGGATTCAAAGATCGTTGATCCCTTAGATTGCATGTTAAAGAATTTTAAAAAGGGATATAATGTATGTGATTTTGGGGTAAAGATGTCTCCAACACGTTTGACTACTTTATGTAGCAGGGAATGGCCTGCCTTAGTGGTTGCATGGCCTCCACGTGGTAGTCTTGATCCTAATCTAGTGCAAAGTGTACACGTAGCTGTATCTGGTAGGCCGGAACTTTACGACCAGTTTCCATATATTGATTGTTGGAAACAGGCCGTGGATGACTTGCCAAAATGGATCAGGGTGTGCCAAGAGGAGCAATGCCGCCTCCTGTTGGCCAGAACTCGTTTGTCCACCAAGGCCGTGATCACGCCCATTCTGGACACACCCCCTGAGTCAGAGATTCCTTTACCGCCCCCTTACCCCTCCTCTACAGGAAGAGGAAGAGGAGGTGCGGCTAGTAATGCCACTCCCCTTGCCCCATTGTCTCCTCCTACCCCATCCTCTAGCTCAGAGCCCAGTCCACTTGTTCTAAACACTCCCCTTCCGGTACCTACCCCCACTACCTCCACCTATCCGGATTTGACGTCATTTCTGGTTCCTGGTCAGGCTCCTCCCGGCCCGGAATATTCTGCTTACCAATCTCCCCTTCAGTAAAGAAAAAGCGTCTCCCTCCCCTCGTCTTACTACCCCTCGACCGGAACCCATAACTGACCTTCCTCAACGAAGCCCCATACTAACCCGACAATTGACCGGTACCCTCCAACCCCGACATTATCAAATGCCTCTCCGATTGACACCGGGCCCGACACACATTAATGGTGAAGGCCAGTTACAACCTGCCGACCCCGTATTTGTTTATGTTCCCTTTACCACTACAGATTTGTTCAACTGGAAAACCCATAACTCCTCTTACACAGACAAACCTCAAGCCATGACAGATTTGATTACCTCCATAATCCAAACGCACAATCCCATTTGGGCTGATTGCCAGCAATTGCTTATGACATTGTTTAATAACGAGGAAAGGACTCGGATTAATCAGACGGCAATTAAAGCACTTGAAGAAGTGGCCCGTGCACAGAATCAGGCCAACCCGGTAGCATGGGCCGCAGTTCATTACCCAAACGTAGATCCGAATTGGAATGTTAATGGTGCTGATATGGCTCACCTAAAAGCTTATAGGGAAGCCATTATTACTGGCATGAAAGCCGGAGGGAAAAAGGCGATCAATATGTCAAAGACGGCTGAGGTATTGCAGAAATGTGATGAGTCGCCCAGTGCCTTTTATGACCGATTATTGGAGGCATACCGATTGTATACCCCCTTTAGTCCAGAGGCTCCTGAGAATTCCCGGATGGTTAACTCTGCCTTTGTCAGCCAGGCTTACGGAGATATTAAAAGAAAATTGCAAAAGCTAGCAGGGTTTGTAGGGATGTCTATAACTCAACTAATGGAAATAGCAAATAAGGTTTATATGAATAGAGAGACAGAGACAAAGAAGGAAGAAGAGCGTAAGATGAGAAGGAAGGCAGAAATGTTAGCGGTAGCTATCGCTGGTGTAGATAGAAGGGAAAAGGAAGTGTACAGGGGAACCGAGAAAAGCGAGAATAAGTGGAATAGGGAGCCTTTAAGTAGGAACCAATGCGCATATTGTAGGGAAGAAGGGCATTGGAGGAGTGAGTGTCCATTGAGGGAACAACATGAGAGAG